GGTGGAAAACAGTCGTTTTATTCCGTTACAATGGCGACTGAAGCGGAGCTCGCTGCGGCTCTTTCCTTTGTTCTAAATGACTTGAACATGTCTTTAAAACCATAACAAGTAGAAGCGCTAAAAGCCTTCCTTCTAAAAAAATAAATGATGTTTGCGCCATTGCCAGACGCCTTTTTTGACCACAGCTAAAAAACTACAGCGTCGCACGGTACAGTCGGCATTTCTGTCTTTTTTCTGATTGGTTATTTTTGTGCGGCCTAGTCCCTCCCCTCATGTGCCTTGGCCTGTGAGTAACCAGACTCTTTCTCTGTGCAGAATTAGACTAAGGTCGAGTCTGGCAGGCCAGGCTAGCGATCTGAACCACCAAGACTGCAAATTCCTCGTTTTCTGCAGCCATCATGATGTCACTGGAAACTACAAGCTATTTCTGTTGAATTATTTAAAACGGTTGTGCAGTTCCAGAAAACGAATCAGTTGATCGGCCACAATGTTTTCTAAAATTTTTAAGATACAGAGCAATTTAGAAATGAGCCTGTTAGGCTAAGAGGAATCTAAGCTGGGTTTTTTAAGGAAAGGTTCAGCAACAGCATGTTTGAAAACAGAGGGTACAGGGCTGGATTGGAGGAATAGATTAATAAAATCCACAATGCATGGATTAGGTCAAAAACCTTAAGCAAAGGGGTTGGGAGATTATCAACAGGGCTTGAAGTTATGGTAAATGAATTTGTATAGCACCTTCTTAGGGTTCTACACCCCCCCCCCCCCCCCCCCCAAGGCGCTTCACAGCAAAATCAGTCATTCACCCATTCACACACACACATTCACACGCCGGTGGGGATGAGCTACGATGTAGCTACAGCTGCCCTGGGGCACACTGACAGAGGCGAGTCTGCCGAGCACTGGCACCACCAGTGCCTCCGACCACCACCAGCAGGCAAGGCAGGTTAAGCGTCTTGCCCAAGGACACAACAGCAGAAATCTCTGGTCGGAACTGGGATCGAACCTGCAACCTTCCGATTACTGGATGACACAAATGTCCTGGAAATTTACGTGAGTAAAGAAGGACCATGATTAGGAGGAAGGAGGTTTGATGGGAGAATAGGATGTGGATGGGGCTGAAAAACTTGCCCAGAGATTTCTGATTTTGTTCTCACAGAATGCAAGACCTTTGTTACAGTCACATTGAGAATACAGGCCTTTGATGGGTGCAAACTGAAACATTATGGTTTATAAACTTTTGAGTTATTTTTGTTTGAGGAAATCAGCTGAGCCAAGTAAGTGGCCATGGAGTTGTTCTCCATCTAATTCAATAATTGCGGTTTTGGACCTCCAGGAGGAGATTTCAGAGAAGATGGATGGATGGTTAGCAAGCTCTCAGTGAACTTTGCAAATTTTTGTTCGAGTATATTCAACTCTCCATTTTACCTTGTTTCACTATTTCCACCAAGTTAAGTCAATAAGACGAGGATGATAAAGGTAAAATGCATTTCTTTAATACATCCTGTTTAAAAAACATTACAAACATTGCCCTCAAGTATTTAAATTTGTGTGTAGTATTTAAAAAATATATAATAACCGCAATTTAGTTAAAGTTTTTTTTGGATACAATAGTTTTTCAGTAAGTTTAAAAATATAACGACTTTGCAAAAAATACTTTCATATCTTTATCTATATATCATTCTTCTTGCTTTTGGTTCATCATCTCCCATTAGGCTACATTATCGGAAAAAATTCAAACATGTTAAATGTTTAGAATGAGCCCTCAGCAAGGGGGCCCAAGCTTGCTATTAGGGTAGGGCAGGACCCCTTATAGGACCACCCCTGCTATCTAACATGGTTTTTCTACAAAACCTGAATCTTATTCATCAAAGTGACCTCACATGCCAAATTGTTCCACTCTCAGAGGCTAAATTAGAAAATACACACTCACTCCTTAGAAAGACATGAATTTACACAAACACATTACCACGCAGCACACGTCTGTATTGTTACTCATGCTGTTGCTGAGCAGACTGCTGACTCACCTGCAGCAACAAGACATAAAGAAAAAAAAAGCACGTTTATATTATAGGAATGCTCTTAGTAGGCATTGCTTTTGTGTGATTGCCTCTTTTATTCATTTCACCTTAAATAAAATAAAATCTATCAGTTCAAACCATACCACAGGGAGCTATGACTGTTCCAAGCATTTTACTGGGGACTGACAAAGGGATCGGTTGTAAGAAAAACAAATATCAGCATTGCTCCTGTGGTTTCTGAGCAGCTTTGAGGCAGCACGTTTGTGACGCTGATGTCAAAGCGTTCTTCCCTGTTTCTGGGCACATGTAGAACATGCTGCTGAGTGCATCGCATAGATGACATGGAAGCTTCTAAATTTACTAACTTGGCCTCAATAAGAGTTTCCATGGGAACTAGTCAGACTGCATGTGATGGTGTGGATGTTTGCTCAAAAGCAAAATCATGGATGGTGTTATATGAGAACCATGTACTCCGACCAATAAGTAAAAAAAAAAACAACAGTAGAAGTGTTTTGGCTGAAAAAGACGTTCTTCCAGCTAAATAATATTTAACGTCCATAAAGAAATCCTATTATTTCCTGATGAGTGGTGTTTGGTAGTAATATTCCATCTTTTTGGCTGTTGTTTTTTTTTTCCATGCTGCTGTCTGAATTAAATAACGTGTGTTTTCTGTAATAATCGTGTTTTATTAGAGAGGTTCTGCTGTGCTGAATGAAGCTCAAATTGAATTTATCAAATAAAACTGTACTCATAAAGATTTCTGCATGCACCACTGTGCAGAAGCCTTGAGTCGTCACTCATTTCTTTTTATTTCAAAATCGTTTAAATTGCAACTGGCTCTACTTGGGTTTTCTGAAAGGACATAATTGTTTTTTGATGGCTGTTTTTATTTTGCTCATTTTCTGACCAGTACCTGAGCATTTTGAGAGGAATATTATAAAGTTGCTTTTAGCTACTAAGCTGCACACAGATGAAATCAGGGATACTATACAACTGTTTCATATTTTCTTGAGCCAGTATGTGCTAAAATGATCCTTTGAAGGGGTAGGGGTTGGAATGGGAGGTTAAACCACCAAGTTGTTCCCCAGCACGGCCACAGCTGCAGCTCACCGCTCCCAGTGGGGATGGGTCAAACGAGGAGATGAATATCACCAGTGTGTGACTAGTGGGAGTTTAACTTTTAACTTTAATGAAATGTCACTCAGGCTCCTACCACCTGCTGTGGCCAGAATACTGTATTTTCAACTTCAGAGTACCGGTCCGGTCCCTGTAGGTGTTTCCTGCATGTTTTAGATCGTGAACACAGCTGATTTATTTTGTTTAGTTATAAACCGATCCCCTAGGCCTAGAAACTAATGCAAACGCATTTCAGCTGTGGAGTACGGTGTTAAAAAGACAGGAGATAAGTTTCACTCATGCTTTAATAATTAATAAGACACTAGGGGGTGTTAAAAGCAAGTAAACTGCTTAGTATCTCTTTAACCCTCCCACTGTCTGTGAGGTGAGGTGGTGCTCACTCCTCACCCCCGCCACGTGGACCTCAAGGGATAAACCATCAACCCTGCTCCACGGTCAACTTTCCTGCCGGGGGTCACCCATGAAGACAGTGGGAGGGTTAATTTAGCCTTTTTATCTTATTCTTACAACAAATATTTTTCTGTCTTTGTGTATTTTAATCATGACTTTAAAATCTGATGTTTTATATTGTCACATTGATTTTAATGTCCTTGCTGCTCTTGCTCCTGGAAACCATTGAAATACTTCTGTGTATAAAATGTGCTTTACTGTGACAGTTTCAGCTACAAAAAGCCAAAGTTGAGATAAACTAGCATTAAAAAGCACTTCTATGATGGGTCACTTAAAAAAATGCATTGAAAACGTTTTATTTATTTTGCACAAAACAATTGATTTACTTATTTAAATGGTTTTATTATGCTATTCTGATCAAACTAGCAAAGTTCACATTTAAAAGATAGTTTCACTCCTCTCCTTTGTTTCCTTTAAGAACAGAAGCAGAAAAATAGTCTTATATGTGCACAAATTGCCAAACAAACGGGTTGTTCTAATTACAGAGTTTACCAAACATCACATCGTTTTTTTTTTAACACCTGATTCTTTCACACTGAGCTTGCACCCTGATGCTGTGAAGAAGACCTTCCTGGTCATCCAGAGTTGGGCTGGAGAAAGGGACGGTGATTTCAGACAGCTTGAGCCTGTGCTGAAATCAGAGGTGTGATCTGTCTCTTGAGTGTGATATAACAACACACAACCTCTCCCTTTTTAATAGGCATGCATTTAGCTCTGAAGGTGCTTTGTTGATGGTTTAATAGTCAGGTCTCTGCAAAAACAAATCCTCGGGTTTAGCTATTAGTCTTTTTACAACAGGCAGTTGGTGTATGTGGTACTCAGACATATGCTGCAGTCTCTGTCCTTGTTGAGTAGCGTTCAATAAAAGCACATTTTTGTGGAATGCATGGGCAAATAAGAGCAAAGGTGTCCTTGCATATGCTTTCAACACTTTTTTTTGGAGATCTGAACAATTCAGCCATGCATGCCTCTCCTACTGCAGAATCGGTGTCTTCTAGCTAGTTTTTTGCAAGAAGATTTTGCCTGAGTCATAATCCTGTTAGTGAAACAAACATGTTCATGTACTGAAGATGAACTTGGGATAGAATCTCTGGTTAATGTGTTTTACTGTTTTTTTTTCAACCATTAAATGACATCAGTAGAATATAATTGACTGCTGTGTTTGTTGACAACCTAATATTGACAAAAAATATAAAAAGAAATACAATACTTTTGGATAAAATACAAAACAGTTAAACTCATTATTACATTTTTATTTAGATGAGCGCTTGTAGTTTCCTGTAGTCTTTAACTTGGCTGCTCCTACAGTTATAACTTACTTTGACTCCAACAAATGGCAACATCTTTAATGTCTTCTATGTTTTTTTAAAGATATTATCTGTTTTCTTCTTCCAGGTGGTAGCGTACCACTTCTGCCAGGCTGACAACACCTACACCTGCCTGGTTCCAGAGTTTGTCCACAGTGTCGCTGCCCTGCTGGCCAGAGCACCTCAGCTCACCTCCTACAGGGAGCTGCTGGTTCAAGAACCCCACCTACAAAACACCCTCAGCTTGCGTTCTTGTGTTCAAGACCCCATTGCTGCCTTCAGGAAGGGGGTGCTAGAGCCTCTTTCCAACTTGAGAAAAGGTACTGAAGTCGTGGAGAGTGGCAAAATTTCAAAGTGATGGACCCTTTTTAGTTTTAAAGTGTTCTAGAATTGAAAACCAAATTGAGTAAGTTTTTGAATTTGCAAGCAAAGCTCAGCCAGGCCGAGAACCTGGGGGGTGGCTGCAAGCAAAGCTCTGGTTGCAGTGGATGGAGAGGGCTCTTCCATGAACGTTATATAGAAAATTTCCACAAAAATAAAAATATGGGAAGAACGCTGTAAAGAGGGGTAAAATACGGGAGTTTCCCAGCCAGAAGTGGGGATTTGACAGGTATGCATTTACCTTGTTGTTTAATATAAACAGCTGTCTAATGTAGCATACCACAAAGCCCATGGTGTGTGTGGTCTGTTTTCCTATGTAAATTTGTAATATTGCAATGGCTGCCGAGAAACAGTAGCCTGTCAAGTTATCCTATATATGTGAAAATATATATGTGAATATATATATATATATATATATATATATATATATATATATATATATATATATATATATATATATACAGGTGCTGGCCAGTAAATTAGAATATCATCAAAAGGTTGAAAATATTTCAGTAATTCCATTCAAAACGTGAAACTTGTACATTATATTCATGCAATGCACACAGACCAATGTATTTCCAATGTTCATTACATTTAAATTTGATATTCATAAGTGACAACTAATGAAAACTCCAAATTTGGTATCTCAAAAAATTAGAATATTCTGAAAAGGCTGAATATAGAAGACACCTGCTGCCACTCTAATCAGCTGATTTACTCAAAACACCTGCAAAGGCCTTTAAAAGGTCCCTCAGTCTTGTTTTGAAGGCACCACAATCATGGGGAAGACTTCTGACTTAACAGCTGTCCAAAAGACAATCATTGACACCTTGCACAAGGAGGGCAAGACACAAAAGGTGATTGCTAAAGAAGCTGGCTGTTCGCAGAGCTCTGTGTCCAAGCACATTAACAGACAGGCGAAGGGACGGAAAAAATGTGGTAGAAAAAAGTGTACAAGCTCTAGGGATAACCGCACCCTGCAGAGAATTGTGACGACAAACCCATTCAAAAATGTGGGGGAGATCCACAAAGAGTGGACTGCAGCTGGAGTCAGCGCTTCAAGAACCACCACGAGGAGACTCATGAAAGACATGGGATTCAGGTGTCGCATTCCGTGTGTCAAGCCACTCTTGAACAAGAAACAGCGCAAGAAGCGTCTCGCCTGGGCCAAGGACAAAAAGGACTGGACTGATGCTGAGTGGTCCAAAGTTATGTTTTCTGATGAAAGCAAGTTCTGCATTTCCTTTGGAAATCAAGGACCCAGAGTCTGGAGGAAGAGCGGAGAAGCACAGAATCCACGTTGCATGAGGTCCAGTGTAAAGTTTCCACCGTCAGTGATGGTGTGGGGTGCCATGTCATCTGCCGGTGTTGGCCCACTCTGTTTCCTGAGGTCCAGGGTCAATGCAGCCGTCTACCAGGAAGTTTTAGAGCACTTCATGCTTCCTGCTGCTGACCAACTTTATGGGGATGCAGACTTCACCTTTTAACAGGACTTGGCACCTGCACACAGTGCCAAAACCACCAGCACCTGGTTCAAGGACCATGGTATCCCTGTCCTTGATTGGCCAGCAAACTCGCCTGACCTTAACCCCATAGAAAATCTATGGGGTATTGTGAAGCGGAGGATGCAATACGCTAGACCCAACAATGCAGAGGAGCTGAAGACGACTATCAGAGCAACCTGGGCTCTCATAACACCTGAGCAGTGCCACAGACTGATCGAGTCCATGCCACGCCGCATTACTGCAGTTATTGAGGCAAAAGGAGCCCCGACTAAGTATTGAGTGCTATACATGCACATTCTTTTCATGTTCATTCTTTTCAGTTGGCCAACATTAGAGAAACAAACATTTTTTCATTGGCCTTTAGAATATTCTAATTTTCTGAGATACCAGATTTGATGTTTTCATTGGTTGTCACCTATAAATATCAAAATTAAATGTAATGAACATTGGAAATACATTGGTCTGTGTGCATTGCATGAATATAATGTACAAGTTTCACGTTTTGAATGGAATTACTGAAATATTTTCAACCTTTTGATGATATTCTAATTTACTGGCCAGCACCTGTATATATGTGTGTGTGTGTGTGTGTGAATATATATATGTGAATATATATGTATATACATATTCTGGCCATGACCCAAAGAGAAAGCTCAGTCGTTGGGGAGAATCTGTGGTGTTCTTCCAAACTGTCTCTGCATGCTATTTGACAACAACATGGCGTACTCACCGCTACAAATGTCAGCCAGCGTGGCAGTCTGCCATACACCATAGAAGAAGATGCAAATACATACTTTTTCTAAATAAAGGATTTAAGTTTGCTGGTGAAGGTTCTTGAGGACTTAAATACCGAAGGACTTAAGTCCTTCTATTTGCTCTTGACTCAAAGATAAGCCCAAGTCTAAATAGTCCAAAATTGATGCCAAAGCCGTTTTAAACGAGCCAACGCCGTCTTAGTTGTTCTGCTTCACATTAACCTGTCCACCAAACCGATAGAGTGCTGTGATTGACAGGACACAATACTGATCTGGCCTGCTGAGGCGCCTATGGAGCGTGGCTAGACTGACATGCAGAGCAAAATCATTTAGCTTCTGCTACTGCATGTCTAGACTTCTAAGCCAGAGAAATGGTTCATTCTGAGAAAGGCTGGTTTAGCACGTTTTAAGCGAGGCAAATGTCCTTAAATCAGTGTTCACTTTTTCACTATCACTTCAACGTCTGTAATATAATGCTAACTGCAGAACTTTTCTAGCCCAAGTTACTGCTAACACTAACCTGGGGTACTGCTAATTCTAGTCTGAGCAACAAACACTATCAGGGATACTGTTATTTCAAAATTAGTTCTGTTTCATTCCATTGTATGATGGCCTGAAAGGACACCCCTCCAAAATAAAATAAATATACATTTAATTTTTTAAAGAGCGAGTAAGACCTAAATCATCTTATTTTTACTGATAACCTGTATAGATGAGTGTTGTTAGTTAGATAGTGCTGTTGACACGACCTGTCATTAGTTTGGCAATGCTGTCAGTCACTGCCTCAGTGTCGCTCTCTCTCAGTCCTCTAGGCGACGCCTTTTTTCCAGGTATTGAAATAAGTGTTACTCCCTCCTTAAAGTGGGGGTCAATGCATGGGTGGAGACATATGCCAACCACACTTCCTGTTAGGAAAACGCCTCCGAAAGGGGCGTTGCCTGGTGGACCGAGAGAGCGGCACTGAGGCAGTGACAGACCTCAACCCCCCACCCCCGGCGTGTGCTGTCGGAGTTTCTCAGTCTAAAAACAAGTCGTTAACGAGGGCGTGCATGCTAACACGCACTCACACAAGACTTACCGCTCAGGAGAACAGCAGACAGATTCGGCAGCATTCTGGAGGATTTCCTGTTAAACGCGATCATCAGATGAAAAGGGGAGGAGGGCATTTTTTTCAAGGAGGCGAGCGGCTCCGAGCGCTAATGTGTCAAATCGGCAGGTGAGTGGCTGAGCCAGGTGGAGGTGCGGCTGCCTCACCTGGAGACCAGTGCAGTGCAGCCACGTAGTACTTTGCTGATAACGTCACGTTTTTCAGCGTAGCCATCAACCACAGCTAGTTTTACGTGAATGTGGAGAAGAGTTTTTAACCTGAAGATGGAGATGCCTGTATAATTATGGTTTTGGGCTGAAATATTAAATTTAAACTAAGTTGCACTAAACTGCCTCACTAATGATTGCACATGTGTGCAGCATCATTAGACACTCATCTATACAGATTATCAGCAAAAAAAAAAAGTAAATGTAGGCATTACTTGCTCTTTAAGAAAGCCATTTGATTAGGTGGGTCCTGGTACAAAGTGGGTGGGCCCAGTGTGTGGACCCATAGCCACACCTCTGTTTTAAACACTTCTTCTAGGACACCTTTAATAAGGACCAGCTGAAGGCAGCTGCTTTTACCTCACATGTAAAACAGCCCATAAGTGAGCGTATGATCCCTCATAGACTATTTTCCTTGGTTAAGGTCAATGATTTGAAACTGATGTTTGGCTATTTTTCACAGAGAAATGGTGAGTGTTAAATTTGCCCTGGTGAATCATCAGCATGCCCCAGGATTTCAAGGTTACAAAATACTTGAATGTTACGTGCTTATAGCCGCGATAGTTATTCAGCTAGATGGATGTGTTTTTATGGCCAGGTCCTCCACAGTCTGAGTAGAGTGCTTTGTCTACTCCATCTTTATTAAAGAGGTTAGAAAAAACCGAGAGGCCCTTGCGTGAAGTGAGTGAGTGTGAGCTGTCTAGTCCTCACAGCCCTGCAGAAATGGTTTGACAGCTTGGATAATGTGAAACATGATGGACACATCCTGTATCAAAAACCAGCTGGCAGCATTGGTCTGTGACCTCTTTCATCTGAAGATATGTTTTAATGATATTTTCTTTTCTTTTCTTTTTTTTTTTTACTGCTTGAAAAAAACCCTGATTATTTATTGATTGTCACAAACTGTTTTAAAAGCAAATTTTCAGTAACAAAGTTTTTCATTCTCCGTTTTCTGCTTGACCGTTTCAGAACGGAGGCTACCCGAGGAAGACTATATCATACTGGTCGACAGTCTTAATGAAGCAGAGTTTCATAAGCCAGACTACGGGGATACAATCGCTACTTTCATCACCAAAATAATCTCCAAATTTCCTCTCTGGCTAAAGCTGGTGGTCACAGTCAGGACAGGCCTGGTGGTAAGTCCTGAGATGCTCTTGTGTATTATGAGAACTCCATGGACTCCAAACTTGTTCCTTTGAGTTAATATTACTCACCAAGCACAGGGAATCTTTCACCTCCTACTCTGTTTCCACACATCTGTGTTTTCCTGGTTCCACACACACTCAGTCCCACTGTGGTCACGATAAACCCAAAGCATGTAAAAATAAAAGGTTTTGTGGCATTTAGCTCTTTTTGCAATGCTTTAAATTCAAATAATTTAATTTATGTAGATTTATGTGAACAAGCGCTTGATGAAGTTAACCTTTGAAATGAATTTCTCCTTAATAATTAAAGCCCAAAAGTTCTTTTAAAAACAGTTTTGTCACTTCTTGCACTGGGTGTGCTCTCAGGAGTGCATTATTTTATTCTTCCTTTGAGTAATTACTGATTACATCCCAGTCGCAGTCATCCTTTTTGTCCAACACTAGTAAAAATCAATGCACCCCATCCCAGTAGACAAAAGGTTCTGCCCTGCATAAAAAAGATTAGATAATGATGTCTTTACTTTGCATAATTTGCAGCTTTCACTGCAAATCTCTGAAAAAAAATGTATTTGTGTTTTTCATAGAAATGGATGCAGATCATTTTGAGGGCAAATTTCTTGTGCACCACTTGTTGAACTTGCTAAAACCAATTGAGCATTGACCACATTAATCAGATACTTGAATAGATTTCAGAACTTTGCAAGCAGAGCTGTCTCCCACTACAAAGTGAAGTTAGAAACAGTTTATAGTTACTGCTGCATAGTCTTATGCTGTGCTTTTCCTGCTATGGTATAGGCGCTGTGGTGTTTGGCATAACTGTTCTGTCAATTCGGATATGTTTTCTCAATCTGGTCGGTAATCCCACCAAACAGCAGACGCATCTGTCCAGTGCCAAGGCGGAGCCTCCAAATGCTGCATGGATTACGCTCTGAATGCTTGGTAATGCTTCCGGGATCCTGCTGGGAGTCTGGAGCTTGACAGCTCGCCAGACAGTTGCAAATTTAGAGTTTGAAGTACACAAGAACACATTTAGGGTCATTTTCTTCAGGATCCATTGAGTCGCTCCACCTTAACATTTGCAGTTCCCCTGATTCCTGATTGGATTATCTACCTCAAGTGCTCTTTTTTGTTAATTCAGAGGAACCTGAATTTTTGAAGTTGAAGGTTAAAGTGGAGCGCTTTCTGCTTGGACAAGTCAGCAGTGTGACGTGGAAACAAAGTGTCAGCCTCTGTTAATAAAGTACTGAGGTTACTTTGATCATCATAGCTGGTTTTGGCCAGTGTTGCACAGCGGAGGGTGGAAAGCTGAAATGCGAATCTGAGAGATGCCTGTGAGCAATGTTGGAGTTGAGTCATTGTCACACTATTTACTGTATTCTTCCCATGGCTCTGCATGAGTCAGAGGCAACAGCGTCTGAGTAATGGGTCCTGATTTTGGCATGTTTCATTTGGACTATGCTAATGCATCAAAAACATGCAACCTACGTTCTTTAACTCCCAAGGATATTTCTGCTTGTTTGTAGTTGGAATCTGCCTAGAGATCAGTGACTTTCCTCTTGTGCAGGAGATTACCACGCTCCTTCCGTTTGCTGGCATTTCGCTGGACATCCTGCCGGACAGCAGTGACCTGGGAGCTGACCTCAGTGACTACATCCACCACCGGGTCAGCGGAAGCAACCAGATCGCCACAAATGTCACCACGCCGACCGGCTCCGCTCCGGATCCGCTGCTTCTCAGCAAGTTCAGCAGTCACCTGTCGACCCGCAGCCACGGCTCCATCCTCTACTTACAGCTGACTCTGGATCTGTTCCACAAAGGTCACCTGACTCTGAAAGGAGGGAACTACCTGGTGGTGCCTGTCTCCCTGTCAGAGGTCAGGCATTTGTGTTTGTATCAGTTGATTTGAGTTACAACATAAGCCTGAGGGAAATGAGAGGTTTTAGAAGATAGCTGACAACAAAAGATGTTGTTACCCCTCCTAGTTCAAGCGTTTAGTTTACATAAACTGTTCATCATGATAAAATAACATGACTGGATAGAAAAAAACTAAAGTAAATGTCAGTGGCATTTTAAAGTTACATAATCATCAGTGTGAGGAAATTAGGACACCGGATGAGCAGGTTTGATAGTAAAAGCTTAGGAATACAATTATTTACTGATGATGAATGTAGAGGAAAACAGACTGAGCTTTGGTAAAGATGTGTTTAAGTCTTAGATGGGTGGATTTACTGCTTTTATCGTGACATTTCAGGACCGAAGCTTATAGCAAAGTAAAAGCGAAACATCTTAAACCGTTTGGTTTTGACTTCTGCATCAACATACTGGAGAACTTCTGTTGTTTCTCTTCTGCAGCAGATGCTTTCTTTGGTCCAGATGATCTAATTAGTGTTTACAATGAAGCCATGTGAGACAAACATGTGACACGGAAGACCTTTCAAATCAAATTCATTTAGCCGACACACTTTTGGTGCGTGCATAAAATAGCTAGTGGGGAAAAAGCAACAGCTAAATGATCTAAAAGTTGCAGATTCTAACTCTGAATCCCAACATTTTAGGTGTACCTGCTGATGTGTCGCGTGAGCTTTCCGGATAAGGACGTCTTCGAACGAGTGCTTCCAGTGCTAAATGTGGCTCTGGCGTCTCTGCACCCACTGACTGATGAACAAATGTTCAGGGCACTGAATGCAGGCAGTGTGAAGGGGGAGCTGGAATGGAACGACTTCCAGCAGAGATTAGACAGTCTGACTGGATTCATGGTAAGAGTCCTGATGCTCCTGCATGGAAAGATCTATAAGGATTCAGCTTCTCTTTGGACTCAACCTCATATTTAATATGCTTGAGAAATCAGAAGTAAAGATCTTAAAGGACTAGTATCATGCAACTTTACACCTTCGAGAGCAAAGATAGACACAATATGTGACAAAATATTACCGTAAGCCCTATTGATATGTCATTCCTTATTAAATGTAAGTTATTTCCATGAGCCATTCCTACAACCCGGAAATAAGATGCCTGGATTCGATGGAATCCTGCCTGTACCCATGTGAATTCCACAATAGTGTACGGCTGCAGACCCGGAGACTGCAGATTCACACCAACATGTCACTCTCTCTCACACACACACGCACACATGTACGCACATGCCACTCGAATGAAGAAAGGGCAGCTGGCTTGAATTATTGTCCCAGCCTGTCCCTGACGCTCACCCACCAAACCTTGTAACTATTCAGCTAGCAACTAGCAGTTACAACTTTCGTTCTACTCCCCATTATGGCTTATTGGGTGGTTTTAACAGGAATATCACCAGTTTGAATAAGTAGTTTGTCTGAAATCCCACTCCAGTACTAGCGGTGGTTTAACAAGCAGTCTGTGAAATCACAGTCACACTCTTGCTCAGTTTTTGAGAGCTCCTGAAGGTAAAATCCAACCATTTCCACCGGTCAAACTTTACTTCAGGAAAACTGGACAGGGATCTTGCAGCTCTCGCAGAGAAAGGCCATATTTTTGGATTCTAAGAATTATTTAAAGTGCAGACTAGACGAGAAAGAAATCACCTACTCACACCTCCCCGCTAGCTACTCTGAGAGACCGAGTGTTAGTGTTTACAGTCCAGGGGAGGAGGGATGTGCATTGGAGACTACCTGCATGGGGAGGAGTGGGGCATTGTGACGCCAACACCCCGTCCAGCTGAATCTATTAGCTTAGCAGAGTTAGGTGAAGAAGCAGCTGAGACAGGAAAATTAATAAGTGAAGCCAAAAACTGCTTTGGGGTGGTTTTCATGAGGAATTAACAGTATAACTTGGTACAAAGCTCCAAATGGTGGATTTTGCATGATATGGTCCCTTTAATATCTGGATGGTGCATCTGTAAAATTTCCCTTTTAAATTCAACAAATATTCAAAAATGTCCATCATGTGTTTGAAGGTTCGACGCAGGGATGGAACACGGATGCTGTGTCATCCCTCCTTCAGGGAGTGGCTGGTCTGGAGAGCTGATGGGGAAAGTGGAGACTTTCTCTGTGACCCTAGGTGAGGCAAAAATAAAATAAATAAACAAACAAATAAATAAATAAAAACAAAATTTCTCTTTCAGATCTGACTGGTTAACATTTTTCAATAACTCAAAATATATATTTTTACAAGTTTTAATAGCTATCTCTGGTGGGAGGCCATTGACACTTAAAATAAAAAATGTATAAACTCCATAAATCATGGTTTTTACAGTGCTGTAATTTACTGGTTATGTATCTTCATTATTTGCATCATGACATCAGTAAAACGATGCAAAGTGTCTTATTTGTGATTCATATGGGTGTTTTTACGTGTCTTCAGGAGTGGCCACGCTCTCCTGGCGTTCATGTTCTCCAGACAGGAGGGAAAGCTGAACCGGCAGCAGACGATGGAACTGGGACACCACATCCTCAAGGCTCACATATTCAAGGTGAAAGGTGTTTTTAGTGTGTTATGTAGAGCTATTATAGGAACTGATATGAGCTTCTTGTCTGAGTGAGCTCGAGTCACACACAAACATCCAAAGCTCATTCTGCAGGATTTGCACGTAAAAAGCTTTTCTCCTGGAAAGTAATTGAGATGTGGGTGGGTTCTTATCCATCTGTGTCTCTCACCTCCCTCAGGGTCTGAGTAAGAAGACCGGTGTGTCCTCCAGTGTTCTTCAGGCTGTGTGGATTAACTGCAGCACTGACAGTTTGTCTGCTGCACTGGGCTCCCTGAGAAACCTGTACACACCGAACATCAAGGTGACTTCTTAGTGCTACTCGGTGACTTTAACATCAACATAATGTTTTGTACAAAGATACAGTACACTTCTTTTTGGTTTTCATTTTGCAGGTCAGTCGTTTGTTGATGCTAGGTGGTGCAAGTGTGACCTGGTCTACAGAGGTGATAGGACACGCCCCCATCCTGGCAGTCCACGCCCACCTGGGTCACGCTGAGATGGTTGCTTTGCTGTTAGAGATGGGCGCTCCTGTAGACGGGACCACTGGCAGCGGCATGACGCCCCTGTGTTTGGCAGCTGCTGCAGGGCATGCAGACATTGTCAGCTTGCTCTCAAAGAAAGGAGCTAAGGTCAGTGTTGGTTCTGCAGTGGGTTTGGAGGTTAGAACCATCACAATCACCATAGATACATCGGTTTTTTGTCAGTGACAGAGTTCTCTGCCTCTCAGTACTTTTCCTCCTGTGTAATCTGAATTGCTCTGGTTTTACTTTCACCACAGTTTAAGGATCTATTCTGGGAGGCAGGTGAAACAAACGGGGCTGATTTGGGTCGGAGCGTTACAGACACGAGCCGGGATTTGGGTTGCGAGCACTTCTGTGTCCCCCTCTGTTCCAGGTGGGTCATGCTGATAAGAGCGGCCAATGTGCGCTGGTCCACGCTGCGCTGAAGGGCCATGCAGAAATCATCAACAACTTGCTGGGCCATGATTGGGGAGCAGAGATCCCCACTGATCCGCAGTTGCATCATGGCAATGAAGCTGTCGTAGGGAAAGCACAGGCAGCCCAGCAGGCAGTGACTGCTGCAGCCAGCGTGGGACACACACAGGTACAAATCAGATCCAAAACACTTTAAACGCTGATGACATCCATCTTTATGTCAAGCATGGCTGCCTGTTGTTGGATTTCTTAGATGCTGATTGGTATTTTGTCTGGTCAAGGTCTTTGGTGCTTTGGCCTTGTTTTCTGCACAGCGAGCCAGCATTAAAGACTGCAAAACTGTGTATCTGCAGGTGGTGAAAAGCTTTCTGGACTTGAAAGATGAACAGCTGGCAGTGCAGATGGACGCTCACGACTCACTCTGGGGAGAAACGGGTGCATTTCTTCTATCGGTCAAATAAATTTGTCTTTCTCACCTAGTTTTTGCCCCTCGGTGTGGCTCTTGAATCACACTCGGGGGTTCTAGCGTTACATGTCGGGCACAGTCGAGCTCTCTGAGCTTCATGTGTAGTAAAATTCACCTGTAAATCCACACAGTGCATCCACATGAACTGGCTTCAGTATTACGATTTGAGGATGCTCTAGTTGTCCTCAAAACTTTTGATTCCATTTTTCCCTTTTTGCCTGGGATAGAGTATCATCTACCTCAGAGGGTCCTGTTCAGTCACATTTACAGCATCTAAAAAGCAGCTGCTATTCAATTTTCAGACTTTTACCTCCATAACAGATGCAACAGCACAGCTTCTGCTGGATCCATTTCCTGAGAGGGTCTCGGATGAAGCCTGCATCTCTGCCTGCAGCACCCTTACTGTGTTATTCTATTACACAATCCCCTGTAGTTTTGAGACAGAAAAAATGGGAGCATTAACAAAACCCTCTTAAACATTCCCCTTTGCATGGTCTCTGCTCTGACTTCGTTTTAGATTGATGTTGAGTGTCAGCATCATTGGATTAAAGCCCATCAGTGCAGAATAAAACTCTGTCCAGGATACACGCGAATGTCTTATTTCTGCACCGGACATTTCAAAGTCTTTGAAAATCATCTTTTATGATATTTTCACTTGTATTTATAGCAGCAGCTTCACCAAACCTGTGGTCATTTTATTTATTTATTTATTTGCAGGATTGCTTTGTCCTCTGTCTGGTGTCTTCTCATTAAAAGGAGCATCATGTAATTGATTTGCCTCTGAAGCATGCGGGCACATGAAGTATGATGTCATTTACCGTGAGGTTAAACGCATCAATACCCCGCCTTTATCCCCAGCTGCTCAATTAGCTGCAAGACTGGCAAACTGAAGCAAGGGACCGTCATTTGTTCACATAATTAAAAGGAGGGTGTGAATTATCTCGGGTGCAGAGATTTACTTTGTAAATAGTTTCTTCTTTTAGTTATTAGGAAGACAAAAAGCAACAGAAAGTCAGTTCGATCTGGAGCATTTTTTATTCTGGTTCTCGCTGCTGCTTCTACTTCCTGACCTAAACTGTGAATGTTGTCTGATGTTTCTGTCCGTGTCCTGTCAGTCCTGACCGCTGCAGCAGGAAGAGGCAGGTTAGAGGTCTGTGCTTTCCTCCTGGAGCGGGGGGCGGGGCTGGAAGTACCAAACCGCAGAGGAATGGTCCCGTTGCTTAGCGCCGCCAAGCATGGACACACACAGGTGAGGAGAACCTCCATCACTTCATTTGTCAACATCTTTTGGCTTTAATGTAGCTTTAAAACATGTTCTTCTTCCAGGTTGCAGAGCTTCTTCTAAAGAAAGGTGCAGACATGAACGTCAGCGACAAACAGAGCCGCACCGCGCTGATGCTGGCTTCCTCTGAGGGCCACACCGGCACGGCGGAGCTCCTGCTGTCACACGGTAGGACAACGTTCCTTTCTTTTGGGATGTGCACTTACCGTTCGCTGAATGTTTTAAAAGCTAAAGGTTCATATTCAACTTGCTTTTGGTTCCAGGAGCTTCCACGTCCTCTGTTGATCACGAGGGGCTGACTGCAATCAGCTGGGCTTGCATGAAGGGCCAGAAAGGTGCGGTCCAGGTTCTGGTGGAGGCAGGAGCTGACCTGAACCACCCGGACAGGCAGGGCCGGACTCCGCTTGACCTTGCTGCTCTCAATGGAGATGCAGATACGGTGGGTTTGGTTTGTTTATTTAGTTTGTGAGAGAAAATAATTTAATCAAGGCCCAAAAAGGCACTTGGAGGGTTTGTTGACAATCTGCTGTGTAATTGCTGTTTCGCATAATTGTCACTTTAGGATATTTTAGCCAAATGAGAGAAATCATCATTAAATAATTTACCCTTCATCAATCAAACATCACGCAGAGTAACAAAACTCCCAACCAAGCCGCTTCTGCAGTCCTGATTACCGGGAGAGGAATCGGAGGCGTCGTTTTAACAATTACAAGATCTGTGAAATGATGAAATTATAATTGTGTGCACTAATGCAGCATGTGGAAGTATCAAACAAAAATGTGACGGTTACACTTTAGCGTAACGTTTGAATATCAGGTGCACAGCCTGGTGGAGCACGGAGCGGTGCTGGAGAGGGCAGACAACAACGATACCAGAAGTACGGACCGAGCAGCTGGCTGCCAGAATCCGGCTCTCGTGGCTTTGCTTCTGAAGAAAGGATCCAAGACGGGTACGGACCTCACACTTGTTCTAAAACAACCACATCAAGGGGGATTTAAAAGTTATACGACACCGTTAAAGAGCTCGATAAGCTGCAGTAAAACACAACGTTGAATCAGCACCAACTTCTCCAGTGGTCTCATATTTGCAGCTGACACAGACCAGTCAATGGATGTTTTAATTTGCTTCTCTTTTTAACTGCAGAGCAGCTTACTGCTTCATTTGATGCAGCGGCTACCTTTAATCCTCCAACTCTTTTTTTTTTCAACTCTCTCCTTCGATCTCTTGGCTGCTCTCATTCATCAACCAACAGGCTACAAAACGGCTCCACACGATCGATCAGGTATGACATTTATTTAAGGTACAAAGTAGAGGCGACAAGGCAAGACAGAAGATCTAAAGATGAGTGTTCCTACCCCTCCACTAGGTCACGCTACGTGGGCTATGGCTTCCTCCAAACCAGACATCCTCCTTATCCTGCTGCAGAAGCTGATGGAGGAAGGGAACATACTATACAAGGTATCTTGATCAACATTGCGTTGTGACGAAATTCAAATTAATGATGAAAACTAAACCTGGTGTGTTCCTCAGAAAGGACGTATGAAGGAGGCCGGCCAGCGCTACCAGTACGCTTTGAGGAAGCTACCCCGAGAGGGGCAAGGGGAGGAGCTGAAGGGCCTCAGAGACCTGCGGGTCTCCCTCTACCTGAACCTCTCACGCTGCCGCAGAAAAACCAACGTAAGACTGTCACACTGCTCATGCACCATCAGCAGGTTTATCAAACACCACGGGAAAGGCAGCGTGTTCTGGCTAGGTGAGGTAGATGTATAACTTATCACCGTAGACATAAAAAGATCATGACAGCACCAGTGTGGCTCGCCATACAGATGTTGCTGCTGTTTAGATCTGATTTGGTGTCACTCTGGTGTAATAAACAAGAGCTCCAGGCCTGGAGGCAGGTGCGTGTTGTTAGTGTGGAGATGGATGCGCGTGGCCAGCAGCCAGCTTCGGATCCCACCCTGGCGATGAGAGACGTCCTGACAGACTGGAAAAATGCCATCCTTAGGGTCACTGCGGCCGGTGAATAATGGAGCAGATAATGTGAAGTGATAAGGTCACTCGCTCCGGATGAGAAGAGTGTGCTCTCTTTCTCCGAGTTACAGTAGGGCCAGCAGGGAGACTGCGTGATACCACCCATAAACATCCACCAGTGGCTTACACAAACTCACATTCAAGACTGTTGTGTTGACCACGTTCTCAAGGACAAAATCAGTGCGTTGGCGTCGTTAAATACTCACCTGAGAGTGACGAGAAGTGCAGGAAAACAATCAGCTTTCTTCCCTTTTCCCTCCTTCTTCTGGTCAATAAACCTGATCCCAGCGTGGGTTCGGTCTCATTACTCAGGCTGCAAACAAGCACTATTTATAGTAGAAACGCCTTGAATTATGTTGGCAAGAATAAGATTCTGTAGTTAAACGATGGCTTTGTCAGTGTGCTGCATGCCAATGTTTAAACTGAAGAATACATATTGCACCTAATGGTGGTTCCTTCCTCAAAACCCAGGATTTTGGCATAGCTGAGGACTTTGCAACAAAAGCACTGGAGCTAAAACCGAGGTCCTATGAAGCCTATTACGCCAGAGCACGAGCCAAGAGGAGCAGCAGGTAGGATGTCGTTTATTGTTGTTTGAAGTTAGAGCGATTCATGCGAGACTCATCGGTGCACTGTTTGTGGCGTCTCCGTGGGACTGGAAAGGAAGCGTTTTTAACGTTTCTCTGTGCGTTTTGAATGTCCTCCCCAGACAGTTTGCTGCAGCACTGGCAGACCTCCACGAAGCAGCACGACTCTGCCCGTCCAACCGGGAGATCCGACGCCTGCTGGTGCGAGTAGAGGAGGAATGCAAACATTATCAGAAGATATCTGGCAGCAGCACGACGCAGGGTTACAACAGGGACCCTCACACCCACCACCATCAAACCACAGAGGAAGAGAGAGACATTTATTCACAGGGAAGTCTAGAGAGGCAAATCCCTGTTGAGCTGGCTGATGTAGAGGGGGAGCGGGGGGAGGAGGTGGGTCTGCACTGTGGGAAAAGTCCAGAATTCTGGCCTCTGAATCCGTACGCTTCTGACAGGACACTCCCTGGAGGTGTCGCGATTGGTTTGGACGATCCGTCTCCGTGTTTACCTCCAGAGGAATATGTGCAGAACCAGCTGTTTGTGGACATGACTGAACCTGTTAATCCCGTCAGCAGACAGAACCAGAGCATCAGGACTCATCACAACTGTCACTCCCTGCAGTCAGGAAGCAGAGGTGGGGTTAGGCCTCTGTCGCTGTGTGGACCTTCTAGTCCTCTGCCAGGCAGACACATGTCTGCCTCCCTGAGGCCGGCTCCATCAGTCGGTATCGACATCGGTCATGGATCAGCCAATGAACATTCTCGACACAGTCCCACCGAGCATTATCTTCCCCTGTCTCCCAACAGCTCGTCCCCACCTGGACCTCTTCAGATGTACCAGCCACGTTCCTCCAACTTTTCCAGGGGCTCGGAAAGACTGTCCACCCATGCTGTGCCTCAGGATAGCCTGGCTCTCGCTCTGGGGTCTGGGATGGAGGTTAGATGGGACGGTGGTGGAGGAGGAACGGCGGGCTCAAGAGGCTCCAGCTCCAGTCAGGCCTCCAGTGGAAACATGTCAGATGGAGGAAGGCAGCAGGCGTCAGATGCCCCCTGCCCCATCAAGAGCAGCGGCAGCTTCAAGTCAAAACCTGAGCTGAAGCCTCGGCCCTTCATGGGAGTCATGGACAAAGCAGTGCGAGTCCAGGGTCAGCAGACCTCAGGTCTGAGTCGACAGGGTCAGGGAGGAGGGGGCGCGGAGAGCTTCAGCATGTCAATCATGGAGTTCCAGGGGCAGAACAATGAGTTAAAACGCACCTCATTCCAGGAGCAGCTCCCTGGAAGCCAGCAGCAGAGCAGGGAGTTTGGAGAACGTTCCCATCAGCGAGAGACCAGAGGCTCTGCATCCTCCCAGCTCCTCTTCCCCGAGGGCAGGAGCAGACAGGCGAGCCTTACAAGAGACAACCCAGCTCTGCACGTGGCTCCCATTAAACCCAAACGCTCATTTATAGAGTCCAACGTCTGAATTTAGATTATCAAAGCACAGAGACGGGCTGTTTTCAACATGCTGTGCTCCACATAAGGTAGCAAGGGGGAAGCGCTCCCTTCCCCGTGCCTGTTGTGTAGATTTCTGCTGCTGCGCTGCATTCCCAGTCTAGAACCAGTGTTCAACTCAGGCCACAATGCTTTTGCTTACATGTATACAGCTAGACATACCTTAAGTGGGGATAAAAAAAATAATGTATAGATCTCAACTTTTAAGTAGTTATATCAATACATAATCAGAAAAGGCTTTGTGCACCAATATACGAAACCTCGTGCTGCTAGCTGCAGGTTATGACCATTTCTATTGTCAAGTGTCTTCTAAAGAACATTTATATTTGTACGGTGTACACTACATTTGTAGAATCCTTGTGATCGGTCAGCATAAGGGGCTTTACGAGCAACAACTTTGTGTACTGAGAATTCTCTCTTGGTGCATTTGATAAAACAGACAACACTGTAAATGACATGATCGGAAACCTCTTGTCATAATTTAACATGATTGCCTAAATCTTCACAGTATACATAATGTTATTTATTTTTGCATAGAGAACATATTCAGATGAAGAGTTAATGAAGTTTGCTGCACACAGAATGTAAGACAGGGGGAAAAAACAGCAGATTTAATAGATTGCATTATGTTCATAGTTGTCAAAACCCCTTTACAGTTATGTCATGATAAACAGAATGTCACCACATTATAAGTGTGGTTTAATAAAACTATTAAAGGAGAATGACATTTCTACTTCTGCTTGTTTCACAGTATGGTTCAGAAATGTTCATATCTAAACATTAAACTAATAAAATAACATTTAAATGGTAGAAATTTTTAGTACATAATTTCATGCAGTACATGCCTAAATCAATGCAAGCAAACGGTATTTTGTGTTTGAGTGAGGCCTTACCAACGGATAGCCATTAGGGTCAAAAATCCTTGGGAGCACAACCTCCAGTCAAAGGACAAGCACATCAGACTCCTTTTCATAACTGGCCACAAGCCAAGATGTAGATGTGTAAAACAACGTTTATGAATGGGGAAAGTTCTATAACTGTTACAAATCAGTAAATGTGTTTTGTCTTCACAGGCTCCCGTAGAACGAAACATGGCTTCTGATGTGGTACTTAGACCTACTCCCAGGTATTTTAGACCTGATTTTTATGGTTATTTGTTACGAAATCACCAACGATTTTCAACAGTTAAGCATCATTTAGTTCCGTTTCAACAACACTTCGATGAATATTTCCAAAGTTTAAAGGTAAAAACATCTCTTTAAGATTAAGTCAGCAAAAAGAAAAATGACCAGTGTCAGGGAATGATCGGTGAAGAAAGTCTGTCCAACATTAACGAAGACAATCCTGATGACCAAGTCCCAGCAGCGGATGGTGACGTTAAACAGCAAACCAGAAGAGACCCATCATGAGAAGAAGTGAAATGATGTGGGACAGATGTGATCCTGTTTCTGGGATGCTACTGGCTGGTCTTCCAGCGGCTAATGGCCATTTTCAGGGTGTGGTTGGGGGTGAGCAGAGTCGTCAGTAAGGGGAGGTTCGTCATGGGGCTGGAACGGTTTTTGGTGTTGATCCAACTCTCAATGGCCTCTCGTTCGTACGAGTATCCATCTGTCAGAGAAAGCAGAATTAAAATCAACAGAACAATAAGGACAGAAATAAGTGTTTTAAAGGGAAAAGCTCTGGTTTTGCTCTACCGGCAGCAATAACAGGCTCCCTCATCAGCTCTCTGGTGATGGGACACAGAAACTCGTCAGGAATCCCAGAACAGACGGAATCATCCTTCAGCTCCTCCACCTTTCGCAGGAGTTTGCTGCGCAGGCCGACCGAGTCTGAAGTGGTTGACAGGAGAAAATGTGTTCTCATTATGAAGAATAAGAGGAACCGTCCCGTCAAGTTGTCACTATGAACGTTCGTGGCATTTGCCATTTCCGCGATTAGCACTTTCCACTCTTGAATGGCAAATGAGAGCGTGGGTGAGAGTGGAAACGGTTTGTCCAACTCAAACACACAGCAGACACCCCAACGCGTTTCACTGGGAATGCTGAAGATATTAAAAATGCACGAGCTCACACAATAGAGTCAACCACAGCTGAAGACAAAACAGGTGTATGAGGTTGCTGACAAACTTCCTGGTGCTTTCTGCTCAGCACTGTTCTGTAAGTTAGCTCTGCTAAGGTGGGATCCATGCTGCGTTACTAAAACCTGATGGAGGTGAAGACAAGCTGCCACAGCTCTGGTGCTGAGTAAACGGAGCAGTGATTGACAGCGACTGTGGGATGGAAATGACGATGGGGCAATACGACCAGCGTTGGCTGATATATGCCTTAGACTGACATCAACAACACTCCGACTGTAGCCTTGTGGGACCGCTCATGGATAAAACCCACAGCTACAAGAACTAAGAATAAATTAATAAAACATTCAGAGTAGACTTGAGGAAAAACCAAGATGGCTTAATGATTTTAGATGTAAATCCACTTTAGACCTCATGGGAAATTTGTTTTGAGGATTGGGTTACATAACTCAAAGTGCGCCAGATTAAAGCGGGAACTGGCGAAGCCTTTAAAGCTGAGCAGCCTAATATTATGTAATCCTGCTGAGGAAAACCCTGCTGAGCACACATCCCTCAAGCATAATTTAAATCCATCTAAAAAAAAATAAAGCATCCAAACATGTCTGCTGTGTCATCATCATCATCATCATCTGGGTTATTTTCCTACTTTCTCACACAAAAGACCAGGACTGGGATTACGACAGAGGGAGGAAGTGAAGAAGTGACAGTGTGCTCGCTGAGCAGCGTGTTAAGTCGCTCTTCCTCACCTATGCTCAGCTCTGACGCCAGTGTTTCCTTGGTGAGACGGAGCAGCTCTGTGCCGTCTATGTTATTGGCCTTGAATTTGTCCACCAGTCCCCCAAGTCCCTCCTCCACTAGCCACTCGGAGACATCCTCCTCTGACCAATCGGCAACCAGCAGCTTCGATCGACCTGCCGCGGGTTTTCCTGAGAGGGCGAGTCGAGGAGAGAGGGTCAGCTACAGGCAGCTGCAGCGCAGTCTGATCACATATAAAAGATGGCTGTAGCTTGGATCGCACTAATAAGGTTGGAGATCTTATTTGGTGTTTTGGGGTAAAATTTGAATATAAAACAACAAGTTTACCTTCATTTGATGTTTGTGCGCACTCTTCTAGAACATGAGAAAAAGGAAAATGTGAAACTTTAACCAATAAATATGTTCAACACAAAATAGTTGCATCAAAACAAACCAAAAAGTCCCAACTCATGAAAATGCTAAATGATTTAACGAGACTTTACAAACAGAATGAGAGCGGGACGTTTTAGTTAAAGGTGTGGCTAACTGAATTTTTTTAATGATTATTCCTGATTATAATCAGTCACTCTGAGTTTTTCATGCAGGCTGAACATGAAAATAGTCTCCTACACCTATCTCCTGCATTAGTTTCTGATGGTGAAACGCTAGGATTAGAAAATCCTGATATATTTATGTCACACTAAATTTGCTTCCATCTTGGCTCATGCCCACCCACAGGAAGGTTTTTTTTTTGCAGTGAGGTGAGAGAGCAGAGTAAGGACTTTGCAACATGGCCGAACGCATTTTGTTAGCAATCAGAAGTGAGGTGTGTGCATATGAGCAATCCTGCTGTTTCCAGCCCACGTCCATCCATCCATTTTCAGCCGCTTATCCGGAGTCGGGTCATGAGGGAAGCAGCCTAGGCCCAGACTTTTCTCCCCCCAGCCACTTGGGCCAGCTCCTTCTGGGAAATCCCAAGGCGCTCCCTGGCCAGGTGAGAGACAAAGTCCCTTCAGCGTGTCCTGGGTCTTCCCTTGGGTCTTCTCCCAGTTGGACGTGCCCAGAAAACCTCACCAGGGAGGTGTCCAGGAGGCATCCTGACCAGATGCCCGAGCCACCTCAAATGGCTCCTCTAGATGTGGTGGAACAGCGGCTCTACTTCAAGACCCTCCCGGCTGACCGAGCTTCTCACCCTATCTCTAAGGCTGAGCCCAGCCACCCTGCAGAGAAAACTCATTTCAGCCGCTTGTGTCCGCGATCTCGTTCTTTCGGACACTACCCAAAGCTTGTGACTATAGGTGAGGGTAGGAACGTAGATCGACCGGTAAATCGAGAGCTTCGCCTTCTGACTCAGCTCTCTCTTCTCCACGACAGACCGGTACAATGCCCGCATCACTGCAGATGCAGCACCAGTCCGCCTACCGATCTCACGCTCCAGTTTTCCCTCACTCGTGAACAAGACCTTGAGATGCCTAAACTCCTCCACTTGAGGCGGGACCTCGTTCCTGACTTGGAGAAGGAGTTCTACCCTTTTGCGATTTAAGACCATGGTCTCGAATTTAGAGGAGCGGATTCTCATCCCAACCGCTTCACACTCGGCTGCGAACCGCTCCAGCGAAAGCTGGAAATCACTTTGATGAAGCCAACAGGACCACATCATCTGGAAAAAGCAGAGACCGGATCCTTAGGCCACCAAAACAGATCCCTTCAACACCTAGGCTGCACCTAGAGATCCTGTCCATAATATGAACAGAATCGGTGACAAAGGGCAGCCTTGGCGGAGTCCAACTCTCACATGTAATGAGCTCGACTTACTGCCGGCAATGTGGACCAAGCTCTGACACCGGTCATACAGGGACCTAGCAGCCCAAATAAGAGGGCCTGGTACCCCATACTCCCCATAGAAGTTTTTAGACCACCTCAGCCCCAGACATTGGAAAGGGGGCTGTGCCTGGCCGGGCTTCATGGGTAAAAGCCCGGTCACCAGGCGCACGCCAACGTGTCCCCACTGCAGGCCAGTCAGCCCACCTCTGCACCAGCAAACCTCTGCATCTCAGAACAGGAGCATCATAGCTTTTTTAATGACTCATAAGACATTGATATACACTAGAGAACACTGCAAATGTGAGTAAACCACACTTTAAAGAGTGAAAATAGTTGGAATAATAAGAAAACTAACCAGGCAACATCTTCCCATCTTTTCATCAGATGTCACAAGCAGCAAAGGTGAAAAAACAATAATTAGAAAACATGTAAATATGATATATTTATTATTTTAATACGTGTTCCTCCCTCACCGTTTCCACTGCATCCATCCTCCAGTCTCCAGATGTTCACACTTTTATCCATAGATCCCGTAGCGATCAGAGACGACGTTGGAGAGAAGGAACATGCCGTCACGTACCTGCAGCAACAACACAATCACAAGAATACACAGCCACATTAATCTAAATGTACGAGAAGCTAAGGGTTAAATAACTGAAACATTTAAGTCACCATCAAGGGGGGCATTATCTATTTGTTCAGGTGATGATCTGCTCATCCTCCATCATGCAGCTACATCAGTGTTTATTTCACCACGTGACAGGCTGCACCAAAGATCTAAATCAGGATTAAAATCTAATTTTCAGCTGATTTAGTAAAGCCAGAGCCAAGTTAATGAGGACAAGCTCCCTAAAACTTAAGCTGAGAAATGTAGATCTACAGAAGCTGCTCGGTTTCACACAAAGAGCTGAGAGAAGAGCCACAATCAAGGCCTTCTGTGAGAGTTTTAAACGAACAGCTCGCCTAAAGTCAAACGGGTTTCCTGGAGACATTTTGTCAAAAGTTTCGATTGAGTTTCTCAGCATTTATTTTCCTGCTTTCACTCTAGTTAGTGTTAGTGATGTTTTTTTTTCTTCTAAAGCAGTTTCCTTTGCCCCACTGAAAGGAGCCTGATGCCTTTCAGACACAGGTGGCTGGATCGATGTGTAAATGGCTTGTGTGATCATTCATCTGTGACTTGAGTGTGTGTGTGTGTGTGTGGGGGGGGGGGGGGGGGGGGGGTCCTACCTTATTCTGGAAAACGGTGATGCATCACAATCTTTTATCAAACATTCACCCTTACAAAACTTTGAATTACGTAGCATCAACAACAAAAACGAATCTGAAATTGCTTTAAAAAAACATAAATGTTTTTAAAATAAAGAAAATAGCAAAATTTCTATTTATACACACTTTTGAATTTAATGTTTAATTTTAAATATATTAATTATGTGATGACATAAATATACAAACTAATATCTACTTGTTAAATGTAAATCTGAGAATATAGCAAGTTAAAAAAAAGTACTGTGATAAGGAAAATATGCATGAAAACAATAACGCCCAACACATCTTTTATTATCTGATCTTGTTATAATGATCGACTTCTTTGCTTTAACACTCACCTCTCATGGTGGTTCAGCGTGTAAAGCAAAACTGCATTATCCTGGAGAAAACAAGAGCAAGATGAGCAGAATTAAACAACAGCTGGGCAAAAGTTTATATTGCTACAAAAGTACTCACTGCATCATAGACTGTAACACTCTTATCCACAGACCTACAAAAATACAGACGTGATGTTAGGATTCAAAAAGTAATGCTCTAGAAAAGTTGACGTTTCAATACATTTTAAAATCGGGTGAAATATCATGGCCACTGTCTCCCTCTAGCGGCTACAGTCAGTGTTGCACACCATGGATTGTAGGTGACCTACTTTTTATGAAAATCTATGTTTTAAATCAATCTCTTGATTCTAAATAGATGTAAACATTAAGACTGACCAATTTAACACAAGTAATATATATATATATATATATATGTACACACACACACACACACACACACACACAAAGCAATAATAACCGATATAGTTAAGTTTGAGTGTTTAAAAATAAAATGTGTGACTTCTGTTACTGACAGGGTGAAACACGATCATGTATGCAATCAAAAAGAGGTTTTTTCTCCATCGGCATCAGTCAAAACCAAAACTAAAATGGTCCACACAAGAATTACGTATTTATTATTTGTTACACCCGCTCTGCCTCTTCTTTGGCCATCTGAGATGTTTTGAGTCTGTAAAGCCAATTTCTGGAAGTTGATTTACAGAAAACATTCAAACAAAAAGCTAGAAGTGGCAAAAAATAATTAACCTGCAAAGCCTGAGATTTTTCATTTAAATGTTAAAGTGAGAAAAGAAGAAGAGAAAAACAAATTAATAATAATAGACTATGCCTCACCCAGAGACAAGCAGCTGCCCATCTGAGGAATATGCACAGCAGAGGACCGGCGCCGACTGACCCGTTAATGTGTGCAGGAGCTGCATCTTGTAGGCTGAAAATACAGAGTAACATGCGTATCTAAGCATTTAATAACATTCAGGCTGAGTTATGTGGGGCCAACTAAAACAAAGTGTTATTAGTTTTACAGTCCAACAGTACAATAGTATTACAGTAAAAAAAAAAAAAACCTAAAATGATTGCAAACTTTCATCAGTAACCAAGTCAAGTTAAGTTCACCAAACAGCACGGCCGCTGACCAAAGTGTTGTACAAAACAGTTAAATCAGAAAATTGTAAATTCAGAAAATAAATATAGAAAACTATGAAAAAAGAAAATTTGCAACAGTACAATAGAACAGAAATAAATTCCCACAGAAAAAAAAGTAAAACATTTAATCACCTATTGATGAAAAGAATCAAATCTTGACCAAACAATACGAAGTTCCATTCAGTCACTGGGGTGAAAGCACCGGTCAGAAATAATGAGTTAATCCATCAAACAAATCTAGTAAAAGAAACTTTTGTTTGTTTGTGTTTTTCCACAATGCAAAGACAGACAGATAAGTTTATTTCAGACTAAAACATTCTAAAATGACTATGTTTTCATCCATGAACACCATATTTTAACTAAGACCCCTCCAAGTTATCATTTTTGCCTGACATTATCCATAACTCACCTTAACTGTTTAGGTTCAAGGTTTAGAAAGATTTCAGGCCTAGAAAATGCTAAAATGGGCCCAAGCTATAACGCTTCCATCACTGTTTCACAGATGTGCAGTAGGACGTTGAACGGGTTGTCCGGTAATTGGAAGGTTGCAGGTTTGATCCCGGCTCCCGCCAGAGAATACTGCGATTGTGTCCTTGGGCAAAACACTTAACCCACCTTGCCTGCTGGTGGTGGTCGGAGGGACCGGTGGCGCCTGTACTTGGTAAGCCTCGCCTCTGTCAGTGCGCACCAGGGTAGCTGTGGCTCATCACCAGGATGTGAATGTGTGTGTGAATGGATGAATGATACACTGTAGTGTAAAGTGCTTTGGAGTCCTCTGACTCTGAAAGGCGCTATACAAGTGCGGGTCATTATCATTTGTATTCAACAAAACTAAATATTTATTTTCCAATCATGCAGTAGCCTTCGGGCTTGTTTACACAGTACTGAGCTACACAGAACCACGCGTACCTCCAGAGTGGAGCTTGTTAATGGCCCAAATCTTCAGGTGGCAGTCTTGTCCGCAGGATGCCAAATGAAACTGTACGTGTTGACCACCTAAAAAACATAAACATTAATACACACTCTGTTCTTAAGGTGGATTATGACTGCTGATCCCTCCACAACAACACATGACAAATACTACAAATAATATTTTACCAGCGTATTAAAAGACAGGGGAATTTTCAGCCCTCTCTGTGACAGACCCAGTTGGACACATCATGGACTCCTGGAAACAGTGGAACTTGATTTGTTTATCTCAGCTGTCTGTGGAGGACTCTGAAGACATGTGGAAATTTGTGGTGTTGGTGTCAGGTTTCCTGCTCACTGGCCTTGGAGGCTTCCTGGCTTACCAGAAAATTAACGAGCTGTCGAGGAATATTGGCCTGATCCCGGAGCTCAGAGATGGTTTGCACCGCGCTGTGAATGCACAGATTCACAAAATTGTCGAGATGAATCGTAAGCTTGGAACTTTGGTCGAGATTTATTCATTGGCACAAATGATGGATGCCATCAAGGAGAGAGTGGACGAATCAGAACGGATTGGGATAGTTTAATGTCCATTATTGGGATTTTGAGAGGTTGAGGACCAAGGAACTTTAAGACAGAGACGAAATTATCTCTGTTTGGCCCCAAAACAATTTCTAATCGGAATCTGGTGCCCTTGAGCCTGCAAGGCTCCAACGAAAACTCCCCCCTCAGAAGATATGTGGAATGTGCCATCGCTATGGCAACTCAACTCTGTCTCCTATCCCAGCCTGGGCGGGACTGTGGGAAGGCCGGCGAATCGTTCCAGGGTCAAAGCAACCCTCCAACCCTCTATGCTTCTCCCCCTGTTCAGACTGAGGTGACATACGCTGCTTATCGTGGCTGCAGGAACTGAAGTGTGGATAGTCCCAACCCACCACCCCACCTAGTGGACACTTATGTTGTGTAATGTCTGAAGTCTGTTGCATATCTGTCTGAGGTGTTTTTTTTTTTTGGCAGAGCAAAGCTGTCCTCCCTGTGGAGGGTAACTCTGAAGTGCCTTTTTTCCCCTCCACCTGAACCAATCCTCAAGTAACTCTCTTGTCTCTATTAAGGTAGCGCGACTCAGGGTTGCGAATGACCACAGTCACCAATTCTTGTCATGTGGCTAGCCCATGTATGTCTGATCTCTGAATGAATTGTGTGTACTGAAACTAATTTCCCTCTGGGATTAATAAAGTATCTTTGAATTGAATTGAATCTGGTTGCTGCACAGCATAAGGCATGTATATTTATGCCATGAGAATATAATGCAAAAAAAAAATCATAATAATTTAGAATCAACTCAAATCTGGGAAAAAAACTGGTAGCATCTGCTTTCTGGTACAAATCTGCAATTGAAGGCGAGACGATACAAACAGAGGGGAAAACAACTTAATGGAGAGAAAACAAATGCATTGAAATGTATAAAAGTGGTGTGTTTACAGACTGAAAAAAAATCTAATTTGTGACTCAGATTAGTTGATCTCCAAATTAAATATTTATTTATGCATCTTTACTTAAAGGTGCATTATGTAGAAATGAAGTAAAAATTACATCCTGTGGTAAAATTTGGTGAACAACTCTGGGGCTTTTTGCTGTGTTCAAATTACAATTGTCGGCGCTGCATTAGTAGCTCGCAGGAGACACTGCAACCCCACACTCACAGATGGTAAACAGTAGTTAAGACCCTCCTTCCTTTGTTTTGAAAGGAGAAAAACTGACAATCCCAACAGCCAGATGGATATGAAATATGTGTCGGTATAACCTTTCTTGCAAAATGAAAACATTACCCCGACTGCACACTGGAAGCAAAGGCGGTGCGGAATGGCAGTGAATCGGCACCGCTACAAATAGAATCCATTATAGTCTATGAAGTGTAACAAACCAGCCGCAACGCAGCAATTTTCAGGTACGACCCGGAAGCGGCACGCCGCGCCACTGAAGATAGGATCGGGTTCTATTTTTTCTGTGGGACGCTTCTGGGATGCATCAATTTCCGCAGTTTACATAGGGCTAGACAGGAAGTCACACACTATTTCAGTGTAAAATCCCCAGTGATTTTCAAAATAAAAGTATTGCAGTGATGCAATGTCAAATATATGAAGCTTACATGTGACCTAACGGCTTATTTGCTCACAGCATCGATCCAGAGGGGCAGCAGTGAGTTTTCATGGCTTTATTCCTGGTGGTGGAGAGGAACAACATCATATATGACATCACACAGTGATATAAAACGTGATTTCCTTCATTTTGGTTTAATGGCAGATTGCATAAACAAACCATACCCTTTGAAGTCTCAAGGGATCATGTGATCTCACGAGTCAAGCGAGGAGCATAGCAGAGAAGCCACTTCGCTGCTGAGACTCTCCCAGTGTGCACTTGAGTGAAGTGACTGTCGCGAGTAAACCTTCCGCTAACATTCCGCACCGCTTATGCTACCAGTGTGCAGTAGGCGTTAGACTCTTTTGGGATTTTCTCACAGTAAAATTCTAACTATATTCTTACATACTGCACCTTTAATGCTTTCAGTGTAATGTAATTACATCACCTCCTGTTTTGTAGTAAGTTTCTGTAAATAATTAAATTCATACATTTTGGTTTTACTTCCTGGGTGAATTAGAAGCGCCTGCTGAAGCTGTGCAACAAGATAAACTGACAGGAATTGTTCTCACCACTGTGGATGCTGGGAGCGAAAGTGCAGCAAGACACGCCGAGGTCATGGGCGTTCTTCTCAGCATGGAGCTGGTTCATGTGCAGGTCCCAGAGACGCAGATCCCCATAAGTGGAGCCGGTCATGAACATCTGACTGCAGGGGCTGAAGGAGCAAGCTACCATGGTTGTGTCACTTACTCCCCCGGTCCTCGAAGACAGCGACAGGTGAATTATTAATAACATTTCAATTAACTGGAACTTATTTTTCTGAAATGTTTGTGTTTCTCAAATTTGAGTCGTGTTTTGGATACATGTTGTTCTGAATAAAAAAAATGAAGGAGCAATGTAATGCATGGCACAGGCTAAACTCTCAGATCAGTCTGGCCACCCTCAAACTTTCAGGGGGCACCCCTGGAACTAGTAAAATTGTTTTCTCAAACATTTTATAACCACCATTGCATCTTGAATTAATTCCACAGATTTAGCAGTAATCTGATTCTTTCATCTGTGCAGACATTCAACTAGTTTTAATCTCTACCTGCGCAGTTGCTTGGAAGGGAAATCCCACAGAGCCAAGGTGCCGTCAGAGGCACCGGAGACCAGGTGGACAGAGTCTGGGGACACGGCACAGATCCTGACAGGGCTACGACCAGGGTGCTCCAGGACTGCCTCGATGTCCCCAGTGACTACGGACCAGACCACCGTGGTGGCGTCAGTGGAGCACGAGACAAGGAACTGACCGCACGGGCTGAAGCAGCAGCAGTGGACGCTGTAGCCGTGGCCCGTCAGTGGTGAGAAAGGCAGCTCGGAGAAGTCATGAGTGTTGTATATCCTGAGAGTTTTGTCCCCAGAGCATGTAGCTAGCAGCTTAGCGGAGAAGGCACACCAGTTGACATCGTCTTGATGGTTTTGTAAGGTGCAGATTAGAGACGCCATCTGCAGGGTTATGGCGCAAGAATCAGTGGTGTTTCAGCTGGTACAGGTAAATGCTACCTGTTGTTTTTCTTTCATGAATAAGGCGAGAATATAGCCTGGCAAGCCAGACTATATATGTGAATATATAACTTGCAAAGCAAGAATGTGGTCTAGTTCACTAGACTAGCGAGAATAGGTCTGGTTGTCTAAACAGTGTTTAGGACAATAACAGCTGGTGCAGCAGCTCTGCCTCATAATTAATTACAAATGTAGCTTGGATCAAAAAGCCCAACGGGTGAACCAGGACCATTGAAGATTAAATTACAATAAAATCTATCAAATGAGACACTGTAACGTCAACTAACATGATTACTGGGGAGGTAAACCTCACCTTTGACCGTGGTAGTTGTCGGTGTTTACTTCCCAACAAATCAGCTGACCGTGACGTCAACACAAATGCTGCATTTGTAGTAGCTCGGAAATATTCAACTCGAACAAAAATTATATTTTAGCAAACATTTCTATACATATAAGACTTAATAGATTTAGTTAAATGATCTTCAAAATAATATAAAAATAAATTTATGTTAAAAGGGAATGCTTAGAGGTGAGTTGGGGCAAATGGAATCACTGGTCACTGGTTCAGACAGTAGTTGATTGTTCAGGCTAGTTTGACAGTTCCTGTCTAAAAAAGCGTAACCAAATATTCTGGTCTGTTAGGCATATAATCAACGATCAGTGCAGCTCAACACTTAACCTGTTGTATGAACTTTGAACTGTATGAAAATATTCAGATACAAATCAAAGTTAATCTAATTTGATGACCTATAATACAATTCAGTGGCTTGGTGCAGACTCAGTGAATTTCCTAATATTCTCAGTTGAAAAACATTGCAGAGGTGGTGCATCTTTATAATCTTTATATTCAAATTATGTTTGATATGACAATAAAATGCATTTTGCAACAGCAGTTTTGTTAGTCACTGAAGAGATAATGTTATGAAGGCTTTTATCTTTGTTTTGACATATTTACTACAGAAGAAAAAAAAGACAAAGACCAGGACAACTTGAAAGACTGGAAACGTTTCTTCAAAATAAACATTTGAAAGATATTTTACTGAAACTGTTTTATTAATCAATGGGTAATAACCAGTCAAATGAGAATGACAATGTGGCAGTAAAATCAACACGCTATATTACAAGTCTATAACACTAAAACCCACTTTATCATGAGGATGCAAAAACTCAAAAAACACTGTTATGAACTATTTTATAAACACATTTCCAGCACGCTAAAATATTGTATAGATGCTTGACTCATCAAAGTCATCCTCTGTTGGATGAACGTAGTTTTCAGTCAAGGATGAGAGGGAACCATAATAAAACACACACAAAAAACAGCCTTTATTCCATCATTTTGTTTTCTGGTTTGTCTCGAGTTTGGGAGAGAAAATCAGAAGGGAGCTCATGCCTGATCCAGGGGGGACGCCATCCCTTTGGGAGAAGTAAAACTATTCATCTGTCTTTTCCTCTCCTTGGTAATGTCTGTACTCTGGCCTGAGTTCCCAGGTGTTCTTGTGCGTTCCCTTTATATTGTAGATGCCAATGTCCCGCAAGATTTCCTTCAGGTAAGTCTGTGTGTGTGTAAGTGTGTGTGTGTGTGTGGGGGGGGGGGGGGGGGGGGGGGGGGGGAGAAGAAGCCATTATGAGAGATTAAAATACTCTTGGTCAAGAAGAAACAGAGATGTAACATGCTTTCTTCTGATCTTACCACAGGCTGTTTGGTGATGTCCACCAGGTCTTTGATGTTGTAGTACTGGTGCTTCTCAAAAGCAGAAAACAACATGTCCAACACCTGCTGCTTCTCTGCTCTTGCTCTCTTGCCTTCCTCTTTCTTTTTCCTCTCATACTCACGCTGTAGCAAAAAATGTTTTTTGATTATTGACCACATGCACCGCTAAGGAGGAACCCAGTAGTTTTGATTGCCAACTGAACTTTTAAAAGGCTGTCAATCTGCTACTGAAGACACAAATCCATGCACTCTTCAGTCCGTTTTTTTAACAAATGAATTACAACAACTGAATTAAAATGAGAATTTAAATTCATAATCACAATAAACCAAGTGAAAAATATATTAAAAAAATATTGACCTGTGTTCGATTACTTACATTGTATTCATGATTGGCCACAGGTTTGTAGTTGTTGGTGACGGGTTTGGACAACTGCTGGGACAGCCTGGCTGGCTTGGAGGACTCCTCTATTTGTAACCTGTTACAAATACAAACATTGTTTTCACACAAATACATTAAAAAGTCCATTTACAGTTCCAAAAACATTTGCACGCTACAACCACGATTGTACTAGAGGTACTTTGTGAAAGTACTGACTTCTTTAGTCTCATGTAGCTTTCACTAACAGCAGGTCTGCACTCGGCTCTCTGCACCACTACCCCCTCCAAGGATAGTTTATCTGAAAAAGAACAAAGTCAATTAAAATGTGATAAAACTTAATATAATGCACACTTCTCAATATGATTTAATGCAAGTAAACAATAAAGGTAAGAAAGAAAAGGAAGAATGATGAAGGAAGGTACTGTACATACACAACTTTATGTATGTAAAAAAATTACAGACCTGTGCTTTTACAATACAATATGTAACTTCAAAACTACACACATTTCTGAAATTTGCTTCTACTTTTTAGTAGAGCATACATTTGTTTTATATGTGACTTCATGTACATATGTATATATCTGACAACAAACTGCAGCAAACTTTGGACCAGAAATACACAAAACTCAGATTGTTCCAAAGAAAGATACGCTCTTTCCCCCTTTAAACAATTCAAACTAGTGAATGTTTAGAAATTACTGACTGCACAAATAGTTCTTTAACATTAACCTTTAGAATGATTTATGTTATTTATTAATGCAACCCAACATTTCTCCAAAAATGAGCGCTCTTTTCTAACGTTTCCACAGCTGACTCTACAACCAACAACACAAGCGTCTGTGTCCACCCAGCGTCCCATCATGGACGGATTTCCAATGTGCAGAAGATCCACATGAGCTGCACAACAAAGCTCCAGAAGACAATGGGCCAGTGTTCTGCCTCAGGGCAAGGAGAAACACATCTACAGCATCACATGTGCTTCTACCAACATGCTTTTGTGGCGTGTTATTGATCATGCCTCAAGTGCCGAGTGAGACAGTTGCTCCAGTGATGCAACTTTGTCACCTGCTGCTGAAACTGAAGACTCACCTGGTCCTGCCCCCGCCCCCGAACTGCTGCCATCAGATCTTTCTTCTGACTGGCCTACGGGAAGGGAGGGATGGAAAACATGGAAATACATGGGAATGGAGAACAAACAGTATGAGCTACAACCGGGGTTTAGCCTCACACAAAATGTTAAATCACACAGCTTCATGGCATATTCTCTGACAGGCACACACGCGTGGCCAAGAGCAGAGCAAACCACGGCTTCAGGACAAGCAAGCACAGATAACCGAGCCCAACACTGACACACATCCAAGGCAGGGCTGCACAGATGCTTGTTTTTATACACCTAATGTTAAAAAAAAGTTTGTTATATTTTAGTTGTTTTTGTCCTTTTGTGGATAAATAGGAATCTGTTTCTGAATCTCGTAATTTTGAGCAGGTAAAGGTTAAAGGGAGACTAGGCAGTTAGTGCCAGTTTAATAGTACCGAAAGCAAAACTTATCTCCTCGCTGTGCATTCGTCTTTTTAACACCTTAATCTAATGGGCTCGACACACGGGAGGCGACAAACGACCTCGATCAGCGAAATTTGTCGCCGTCGCTTTTGTTACCTGACACACGGGAGGCAATACGCGGCAGCGGCAAAGCCGTCTATGCGTTCTGTTCCATGGCAAAATCGAAACTTCCGTTGTTTTGTTTGGCTGTGTCAGGTTGGAGGGGTTATTTAAGCGGTTCAGAGTTAAAAAAAACGGTAGATATGATGTTTCAAAAGGTGCTGCTAGAGTTATGTGAAATCTTACTTCTGATTTTACTATATAAAACATAATAATCAACTTCTCCTTCATGTTTGCTCGGAGGTGTACGGAGCATCCTGTCCGCTCATTGGTCAGTGAATGAAACCTCCGTTGATTGGTCCTCGTCCGGGCGACAGCGATAAAAAGTTGAAAATGTTTCAACTTTCTGGGATCGCGTCGCTGGGTCGCCTGTGCACAAGCGCAAAATTTCACACGCACGTTTTTTGCGTTTCGCTTGGTAGGAGGGAGACCCACGATTATCGCTTTGTCGCGCATGTCTCATTGAAAATTAATAGAGGAGAGGCGATGTCGCCTCCCGTGTGTCGAGCCCATAACAGCTGAAATGTCTCCCTAGTCTTCATTAGTGTCTACATGAGTGATTCATCACTAAATGAAACAAATAAGCTCTGTTCATGATCTAAAACATGCAGGAAACACGATGGAACCAGACTGCAGCACCAGGTGTGTCAGCTCCCTTTTTTCCCCCCAAGTCCAAAAAACTGGACCAGCACTCTGAAGTTGCAAGTGAAAATATTTTGTCCACAGGGGGCGGTGGAGATCTGAGTGATGTTTCATCAACCCTGTAAAGGGTAATTTTAGCACATACTGGCTCAAGAAAATAGTTTTAAATATGAAAAAGTTGCTAAGTGTCCCTTTAAAATGACCTGATCAAATTATACGAAGTAGCAAATTCACTGTGCAGCCCTAAACCACACACTAACAGAGACATAACATGATCTTTCAAAGTAAAAGCACTGCAACACAAGTCCATCAGCACCAAGCATAAATAAAACAAAACCTTGGTAATGATCGGAGAACAAACGAAGCCGGTGAGATTCAAGCTAAACCAAAGAAACCCATGCAGAAATCAACGATTTGTGTTGACTCATCCACACCATGTTATTCTAAAATGGGTTGTTGTGACAGATCACCCTCAATCAACTGTGAAGAATGGCATTAGGCCTAAACGGGCACATCAACAACAGACAGAGATGAATAAGCAGTGAAACTGCAGATCCCTTAGACGAAGGAACAAAAGGACAAACCAGACTCTACGCTTTTCCATTGAGTGTTGACTTTCCACTTTGTAAAGTACATATTTTATATGTACCAAGTTGCAAAAGTGGACAACTTCACACTCAAACACAACACAAAGACAAGCAGCCAGACAGGAAAGACTGAGTTTGATGAAAGCACACTGCACAAAAGCAGAATGGAGATTTCCAAACTCTGGAGTCTGGTGAAGAGGACTTTGTGGACACCAACAAGAGTCTCATGAAGCAGCAGAGGTTTAGACTTCTGATCCTTCAGCTGGGTACAAAACTCACCCGAGGAATTCTCTGTGAAGACTGCCAGGATCTGACCCCCCACTGCCTGCATGGTAAAGGGATGGTCACGAGGTGCAGATACCGTCTTATCTTCTAAACCTTCAATCACAGTCAGCTCTTCATTCAAAGTAAAAGACACCTGTAGAGAGAGGAGTGAATTCAATTTCAGCTTAATCCAGGAAGCCAGCAGAACATGAATTATCTGAAATATGACTTATAAATCAAATTATACCTAACCACCAGTTCTAAAGATGAATTCAGTAAGCAATTTGCATATGTTGCCATCTTGTGGCACCGCCATTGCTGCGGTAACACCATTGTCAGGGATTCATTCATTATGCTGCCATTAAAAAACTGATCCTCTAGTGACAGTGTGACGAATACCTGCATTGATTGTTAAGACAGTGGCCTCCAGTAACTGATGAAAGTTAATCAAATTAATACCAACATTAATGACCCGAAAAACTGCAACTACAGGTGTCTGATGGAGGGTCAAAATTACTTGAGCTCAGGATGGGTTGTGCAAATTTTACACCAACTTTTACACAACTAAACCATACTGAAAGGATCAGTAAGAAATGCACAGACAATTCATTGTCACCACAATGTGGAAGTGACCATGATATGAGAGAATGGCCAGGTTGTAAGTGTCTACATGGCAGACAGAGACAGCTGCAGCAGCAACACTGCAGCACTCCTAACATGAAGGAGGCATCAAGCTGGGTCTGACAGCCAGGTCCTGCATGGACCGCAGCATCTCGTATAAGATTTTCTTTTCAAAATCTAGAGTTTTCTGCTATATTTAGAAAAGCTGGTGACTGCACACATCCTCCCAGTCTTCATAGAAAGGCTCGCAAATAGAAATAACTTCCACTTCTTGCTGCTTATTTTCAAAAGCCCGCTTCGAGCACAGCACCTATGGCTAACTGACTGGGAGCGGTCACTGCAGTACTGGTAGTGGCTCGACTCCCAGTTATTTAGCTGCATCTGTATTTACAAAAAGGGCACTTTGTAAAATTCTTTAGATGATTCATTATTACTCAGAACAGCTGATCATTGTTTATTTAAATAAAACAAATCGTACTGAACGAGATGTGTTTGCTGGAGAATTTGGTTTAAAGCCTGTGAGCTAATCTAAAGTAAACTGATCTGAAGAAGTTTTTTTTAATTTATATTATTCTTACATTCGTTTGTAAAACCATAAAAAGCTTATTAAAAAGGCTGCGGCTCTGACACCTATAGGGTGTCAGTTGGATGGAGTCTACTATCCTTGAACTTCACTTACCTCCGGCTTTCCTTGGTTTCCTTTCCTTAAAAAAGAAAGTAAAACAACAATTTTAACTTATTTATTTGGCAAGAAAATAGTTTCACATGTTAAAAGTAAAAGTATAACAAAAACACAAAACTGCTGAAACTTTGCAGAGGACTCTGCTACTTCAGGTCCTTCTCAAAAAATTTGCATATTGTGATAAAGTTCATTATTGTCTGTAATGTACTGATAAACATTAGACTTTCATATATATTAGATTCATTACACACAATCAAAGTAGTTCAAGCCTTTTATTGTTTCTAATATTGATGATTTTGGTATACAGCTCATGAAAACCCAAAATTCCTATCTCAAAAAATTAGCATATCATGAAAAGGTTCTCTAAACGAGCTATTAACCTAATCATCTGAATCAGCTGATTAACTCTAAACACTGCAAAATATTCCTGAGGCTTTTAAAAACTCTCAGCCTGGTTCATTACTCAAAACCACTATCATGGGTAAGACTGCCAACCTGACTGCTGTCCAGAAGGCCATCATTGATACCCTCAAGCAAGAGGGTAAGACAAAGAAATTTCTGAATGAATAGGCTGTTCCCAGAATGCTGTATCAAGGCACCTCAGTGGGAAGTCTGTGGGAAGGAAAAAGTGTGGCAGAAAACGCTGCACAACGAGAAGAGGAGACCGTACCCCGAGGAAGATTGTATGTAGAGAAGGACCGATTCCAGACCTTGGGGGACCTCCGGAAGCAGTGGACTGAGTCTGGAGTAGAAACATCCAGAGCCACCATATACAGGAAATGGGCTACACATGCCGCATTCCCCAGGTCAAGCCACTTTTGAACCAGAAACGGCGGCAGAAGCGCCTGACCTGGTCTACAGAGAAGCAGCACTGGACTGTTGCTCAGTCGCCCAAAGTACTTTTTTCGGATGAAAGAAAAATTTGCATGTCATTCAGAAATCAAGGTGCCAGAGTCTGGAGGAAGACTGGGCAGAGGGAAATGCCCAAACGCCTGAAATCCAATTACCCACAGTCAGTCACGGTCTGCGATGCCATGTCAGCTGCTGGTGTTGGTCCACCGTGTTTTATCAAGGGCAGGGTTAATGCAGCTAGCTATCAGGAGATTTTGGAGCACTTCATGCTTCCATCTGCTGGAAAGCTTTATGGAGATGGAGATTTCATTATTCAGCATGACCTGGCACCTGCTCACAGTGCCAAAACCACTGATAAATGGTTTACTGACCATGGTATTACTGTGCTCAATGGGCCTGCCAACTTTCCTGACCTGAACCCCATAGAGAATCTGTGGGATATTGTGAAGAGAAAGTTGAGAGGCGCAAGACCCAACACTCTGGATGAGCTTAAGGCCGCTATCGAAGCATCCTGGGCCTCCATAACACCTCAGCAGTGCCACAGGCTGATTGCCTCCATGCCACGCCGCATTGAAGCAGTCATATCTTCAAAAGGATTCCCAACCAAGTATTGGGTGTATAACTGAACAAAATTATTTGAAGGTTGACTTTTTTTTTGTACTGAAAACACTTTTTTTTTAGTGGTCGGATGAAATGCAAATTTTTTTGAGATAGGAATTTTGGGTTTTCATGAGCTGTATGCCAAAATCATCAATATTAGAAACAAAGAGCTTGAACTACTTTGGTTGTGCGTAATTAATATAATATATATGAGTCTGTTTCATCAGTACATTACAGAAAATAATGAACTTTATCACAATATGCAATTTTTTTTACAAGGACCTGTATATAGACATTATTTATACATACTTGCATATTCTGAGTTTCCCTACTTCTCCTCTGCCAGTTGCTTTTGCCCATTGCTGAGAGAGGTATTTTGGCACCTGTATGCAGAAACATGAATGCTACTTCTCACTTTAATAAAAGGTACATCAAACCATTCTTGTAACAAAATATGGAAAATTCGTTGTATCAAAACTATTTAGGAAATATAAAAGTGGAGTGGAACAATCCTTTATTCAAACTGTAGTGACACAACTTCCACAAGAAGAAACCCAGATGCTGCTGCGAACCTGTCACGTAGCTTTAGCTAACAGCCAAACGACTACTCTCTATAAAGGCGTTAATTTGCAAGTGAACACAATCCTAAATCTAACACAGCTGTCATGCGTGAATAGTTTTCCTGAGATTATCTTCGAATGTTTCAACTTAATCACGAAGCACAACTTAACTCGGTTAACTACGAAAAACCACGAACAACTTCATTTCAGTTTTGCTAAGCTAGGAAACGTTTAGCCTCTTTTAAATGAAGCGGTCAAACGTAAAGCTCAGTAACTAATGCATATCGGAATGAATATAAACACACCTTAACAAGCCACACACCAGTATTTTGCTTTGCTCCAGTTAAGTCTACCTCTCCTTTTTCTGACATGTTTCAAAACGATGCTAAAGTAAACTGCATCAATCACTAAGCGCATGCGCGCACAAAACAGGTAGCTAGCTACGGCAAGTCGGATGGTTAGACACATTTTTATAAATAATCGTTTACATTTACTTGTTTACTTTAAAACCAAAACCCACACAGAAAAACAATTAGAGATATTTTTTTAGCTCAAGCTATAAAGAAGTGCTACTTGCCTATGAGAAGCCTGCAAAAAAAAAAATAAATAAATAAATGACAGCACATTTCATAGCAATTTGTTTATAATTTGCTGGTATTGTTTTTGTAATTTTAATGTTTATTTTACTTATTGGGGTATCAATCGGGTTCTGAACAGCAGAGGCAAAAATAATGCAATAAGTCTGTCAAAGAAAGTCTAGTTTTAGCCAGTTTGGGGTTAATAAGTAGGATATATTATTTGCATGGCAAGAAGTTGGTCTAGTTCACTATAGGCTAGATTCCAAACACCAACAGCATTTGGAAAAGAATATAAGAGTAGTTGCTGCCCTCCAGTGTCTAAAAAGCCAGAACTACACTCGGTCGGTATATATATATATATATATATATATATATATATATATATATATATATATATATATATATGACATTACTGACTTTAACACATACTCATTTATACATTCAGTGCCTAAGCATTAGAGTACAGGGCACAGAGATCATCTACATTCATTCCACAGTCATATATTTGCATAATTAAACTTTATTCTAAGAAATTCACTGGATGGATATATCCCATTCATAGAAGAAACTATTTTAACTTCCTTGTCCTATCCAAGCTTTAAAAAATCCTAATCTCTCTTTTTGTCCTCTTGGGAATATTGATATTAAAGAGGAGAAGAAGGAACTGGATTTCTCTAAATTCTTCCAAACTGTTTTGTTGCCTTGTAAGAACGGGCAATGTGCGGCCTCTGCTGGCAAGAAATAAAACAACACTCTGGAGTCCAACAGCATTTAGAAAATAATGTAAGATGGGGAGTTGCTGCCCTCCAGTAAGTAAGTAAGTAAAAGTTTATTTATATAGCGCCTTTCACAGATATAAATCACAAAGCGCTGTACAACATGATAAAGATCAGGGCAAATACCTCTAACCAATAAAAACATCAGAAAAACAATAGCAGTGATAAAGTAGAAAATTAAATCATGAGTATAAACAAAGTGAAAGTGTGAACCCGAACAAAGCCATCATTCTGAAACATTTAGGGAGGGAACGCCTGGATGAAAAGGTGAGTTTTTAGATGATTTTTAACCACTTCATCACAGCTTAGAGGTTACATTACTACATAGTATTCAGTAATATGGTTATGTTTTTATGGACAGGCTGGTTTAAGACAAATAATGTTTTAACTTACATTCGGAACATTATAAAATCTGTTGTAGATGATAGGGTGACAAGAGGTCAGGTTAAAAATTTTGAAGGTGATCCTGCAAATAAAAAGACAAACTAATAATAATAAAATTTAAAAAAAAAAAGACAAAATCACCACACTTTAAAAAAATGACATGAATGACAGTAAGCAGAACAGTTGTCACCATATTGGTGTGGTGGAGATGTATGTCCAATCTAATCTCAACAACAAAAAAGATTATGCGGTTTACAAAAACTTAGCAAGTATTTTAATGAGAAGTTTAATGAGAAATTAAAATCAATAGTACAACATAATAGTATAACAAAGAAACATTTGCAGTTTTACAAGCAAACACACAACTTACACAATGCTAAGAATGGGTGCAGGCAGAAGCATAAGCTTATAAGTATTTTAATGATTTGAACAGCTTTCTAAATTTTGAATTCCAATAAAAACAAATGAACTACCTTGTAGAATACAGTCATTATACAAATGTACAAAATCTAAGAAATTCACATGTTTGTATTCAATCCATTCTAGTTTACAACCAGTCCACGTTGTATAAACTTTTTAACTTAAGTAAAACCAGTGAACCTGCTAATGACAGCATTTTTCGGATGCTTTGGGGTTACAAGAACATTCGGTCCTTGCTGTGGGAGAACCGTGTGTTCAGTTCCTGAGATTTCTTCAGCAGCCGCTGCTTTTGAGCCTCATCAAATCGATTAACCTGCAAGTCCTCATCACGATCAAATGGCCTCCTTTCCACTGGGTTGTCAGCTTTCTCCTTTGCCTTTTCCTTAATCTTCTTTGCATGCATACTCATCAGGGACTCTGCCCGTTTAGACTCCTGAAACCAGACAGGAAGGCACCTTCAGTCATGACTTTGATGGGGACCTTTCAGGTTAATAAGGTGCAGACTTACATTATATTTAGATACTTTCTCTGCCATTTCCAAGTCCTTCTGAGTAACTTGTGGTGCGTTATCTTTCTTTGTCTCACTTGTCTTTTTTCCTTCAAGTCGTTCCTATTAAAGAAACAAACATTGATACTGAGGAATAATATACATTAACTAATATGTTGAACACTGTAAGCGGTGGGTGATTTTTTTAGGTACCCTAGCCTTGCGCTCTCTGTCTGCTGGTGTATCCGTCCAAATGGAGCGATCCTTGTTCTCTGGACCTGACCTTTTCTTGAAAGTACGAGCACCCAAACCAATGTGCTGCAGTTCTGGTGGGAGCTCTGTCATCCACGTTTCTCTAGTTACCACCTCTGGAACATCCTAATTACGCAGAGGACAAACAAGAACACATTAAGACACAAAGAAGAAACAGCCCCCTTTTATAATTATTATGAGGAGAAAAATGTTAGAGAAAAATTACCACTCTTGTTAGCTTATCTTTCATCCTTCGTGCCCTGCACTCAAAATCATGAGCAACAGAATCTTGAATCGGTCCTTTAGCAGGCATGGGTCCAATCACGTCCTCCTCCTCTCCCTCGCTGCTGGAGGGTTCGGGACAGTAGCCCTGAGGAAGGGCAGGTCCTGGAACAATTTCTTCCTCATCATCATCATCACTGTCATATTCAGTCCTGCAGAACCCAGGAGGCAGAGCTGGCCCCAACACAGGTGCCCTGAGAAAATACCATCACAAACAAATGTCACACTGTTATCCTAAACAGGAAGTGTCCTTACACGTGCTATTTATGTTACTAGAGAATATTGATGTTTCTGCTCACCTTTCTGGTGAATGTTGCTTTTTATATCCTGGAGGCAGAGCTGGTCCAAAGAACCCATCATCATCCCTGTTCAGAAACACATGTTAGTCAAGTTCGTTCTATTTCTTTTAACTAACAAATGAGACCAGAACCAGAACTCACTCTGCAGCTCTCCCAGTCTTGGCTCGCTTAGCTGCCACCTCTGGTTCACTTTCATCTGAGGAGCTAGACTGTTCACCCCGTTTATACCCAGGAGGTAAAGCAGGACCAGCAACTAGACGGCGACATAAATAAAACTGTTAGCTAAAAGTGAACAGAGCAACCCGAAAAGATCAATTGCCACAACACGTTAGCTTCTAACAAAACGTATCTTACAATCTTTTTCGTCAACGTCGTCCTCAGAGCTCTCATTTCCAAACATCGGAGGCAAAGCAGGTCCTATAATTTTATCAGAGGACATCTTTGCTAACAATTTCGTTACGTATTTTCAGGGGATATTAAACAAAACCTGTATTTACTCTATGGCTTTTAACCTAGGAAGTAAACAATAGAGCAGCGGAAGTCTTCAAAGTGTTCTGCCAAAACAAATGCACCTGCTATTGTGATTTATTTTTAATTAAGATTTTAATAAACACATTTTTGAATAAGTAGTTTTAAAGCTTCGTAAATTGTATTAAACTATCGTAAATATAAGTAATAATCAACTGTACACTGTCTCTGTGGCAAAAACGGAAATATAAAAACTTTTATTTTGAAAGTTTTTGAACGGAAACGCTTGTTATTCAGAGCTCCACTTTAGTGCACAGTCTAGACATCGTTTATTCCTTCATATCATTTAAAGACACGTATTGTGTGTTTACCTAAATACATTTGGGACTATTTTTAAGACTTTACCCATGTAAACCTTTCAAAATGGGTAAAAAAGATAAAGGAGATCGAGGTAAGTTGGTAACGTTTCATTTTAATCTGCGTGGAGCTAGTCACCGAACGCTAACCTGCAATATACTAGCGCAAATACGTCTGAGCAAAATGTAGTTTTGATTCCATGGCATCTTAACATAACTACTGATTTTTAAAATGTTTTAGTAATGTTAATGATTGTTTTGTGGATCTGCTATAGAGAAGAAGTTCAAAAGACGCTACTATGAGGAAGATGACGATGAAGAGGTGACAGTCGGGGAGTCTCAGGAAGCTGTACCTGCTGCTGCAGGGAAGCAGGTGGATGAATCTGGCACAAAACTGGATGAGTATGGAGCCAAAGACTACCGCGCACAGATGCAGTTGAAGAATGACCACAACTCCCGTCCTCTCTGGGTGGTATGATGCGTCATTGCTGCTTACAGTCACAGCTGTACCTCAGTAATCTCTTAGAGGTGAAATCTTGTTCTCACTTCTCTACAGGCTCCAGATGGACACATCTTTCTGGAAGCGTTCTCACCAGTATATAAGTATGCCCAGGATTTCTTAGTGGCTATTGCAGAGCCAGTGTGCAGGCCTAACCACATCCATGAGTACAAGCTGACTGCATACTCCTTATATGCAGCAGTCAGTGTGGGGCTGCAGACCACTGATATTATAGAGTACCTGCAGAAGCTCAGTAAAACATCTGTACCTGATGGAATCATCAAGTTCATTGAGGTCAGAGATAGACAGGATGTGATCCTATAGTAACAGTTTATTTTTTTGCTCATCTGTTGTATTTTTCTGCCTCTTTCAGCTTTGCACTGTGAGCTATGGGAAAGTTAAGCTTGTGCTCAAACACAATAGGTAAAGGTCTTTCGTCTCTCTCTGCAAAAACATTTATTTCTTCAGCGGTTTTATTCACTTGTGTTTTCCCTCTTCTAGGTATTTTGTAGAGAGCACCTTCCCTGATGTGATTCAGCGTCTCCTGCAGGATAACGTGATCCGTGAATGTCGTCTTCGCTCTGCAGATGGAGCAGACCCTGAGCTTATTACTGAAGTTGTCCACAGCAAATCAGCAGTATGTCATACTCCTTAAGGATCTGGATGTTGTGGGGATTTGTTGGTTGACGCAGCTCTGTAATATCTTGTGGACTTCGGGAGCAGTTCCACTGGATTCACAGACTGGGGTGGTGGTCCCCCTGTTTAAAAAGGGGGACCGCAGGGTGTTTTCCAACTACAGGGTGATCACACTCATGAGCCTCCCTGGTAAGGTCTATTTCAGGGGTTCTGGAAAGGAGGGTCCGGTGGATTGTCGAACCTCAGATTCAGGATAAGCAATGTGGTTTTTGTCCTGGCCGTGGAACACTGGACCAGTTCTTTAGGGAGGTTCTGGAGGGTGCGCAGGAATTCGCCCAACCAGTCTACCAAACCAGTGCTTTGTGAATGTGAATTTGGTGAAGGCTTTTGATTTTGTCCCTCAGGGGGCCCTGTGGGGGGTACTTTGGGAGTATGGGTACCAGGCCTTGTGATACAGGCTGTCAGGTCCCTGTATGACTGGTGTCAGAGCTTGGTCCACATTGCAGACAGAGATGGGCCATTCCCATCTGTACCGGGTTGGCCCGGGCCGGGTAGCGTAGGTTGTTTACATATCTGGGTGGCCTGGTATTTTTCCGGGCCAACCAAGGCTCATTCTCAGCCCTCTTCTCGAGGGGGTCTGCTTCAGGCCGACCAGGGCCAACACACCCACTGCTGACAGCAAATTCACACCTTCCATTAGAGCAAGCCTCTGATTGGTGGGTAGAATCAGCCCACATGGGCTTAAGACAAGGATGTTTGGAATCAACCGGGCCAGGCTGGGACCAACTGGGGCTACCCGGCCCGGGCCGACCCGATACAGATGGGAATAGCCCATAAGTTTGATCGTTTCCGGTGAGAGTTGGGCACCACCAAGGCTGCCCTTTGTCAGCGATTCTGCTCATAACTTTTATGAACAGGATTTGTAGGTGTAGCCAAGGTTATAAGGGAATCCATTTTGGTGTTCTAAGGATCAGATATCTGCTTTTTGCAGTTGATGTTGTCCTGTTGGCTTCATCAGAACGTGATCTCCAGCTCCTGGATGCCTCCCTGGTGAGGTTTTCCGGGCATGTCCAACTAGGAGGAGACCTGAAGGAAGACCCAGGACATGCTTGAGGGACTATGTCTCTCAGTTTGCCAGGGAATGCCATGGGATTCCCCTGGAGGAGCTGGCCCAAGTGGCTGGGGAGAGGGAAGTCTGAACCTCCCTGCTTAGGCTGCTGCCCCCGTGACATGACCCTGGATACGCAAAAGAAAATGGATGGATGATATTTGAATTTACAGGGGTTTGCAGAAGTTCAAAATAGAACTGAATGAAAATGTCACTGTGTTGAATGTTTTATTCTAGAGATGTATTTAGGAAATAATTAGTGTATAAAATGAAACATTTGGTAGATTTTTGGGAAACGTCTCCCATTTTCTTAAACTAAACCCCCGTTACGTAAAAAGTGTAAAATATTTATTTTTCCTATTACATTTCTCTTTTTTGGCCAGATTTCTAAGTTTGTTCAAGAAAAAGGAGACCCATCCACCTCACAGCAGCCTGTTGATGGACAGACCTCAAACCAGCAGGTCCCTGAGGACATCTTCAGCTACTATGAACAGATGGATAAGGATGAAGAGGAGGAGGAGGAGACTCAGACAGTGTCCTTTGAAGTTCGACAGGTACCACATTTATTGTTTTTTTACAGAAATAATAGGAAGACCATCAACACCCTGTGCTTCATCTGCTGCAGGAGATGATTGAAGAGCTACAGAAGCGTTGTATCCAGCTGGAGTACCCCCTCCTAGCGGAGTATGACTTCCGAAATGACACAGTTAACCCAGACATCAACATAGACCTGAAGCCCACTGCCGTGCTGCGGCCCTACCAGGAGAAGAGTCTGCGCAAGATGTTTGGAAACGGGCGAGCCCGATCAGGAGTCATTGTGCTACCCTGTGGTAGGAAAGCTAGTCCAGAGCTGCCAGGAGAATACAAAACGTTTATTGATAAAATGCAGACTATAAGTTAGAACAGCAAGAAAACAAATGACTGATTTCTTGTTTCTGATTTGAAGGTGCTGGGAAGTCTCTGGTTGGCGTGACAGCGGCGTGCACCGTGCGTAAGCGCTGCCTGGTGCTGGGTAACTCGTCTGTATCTGTGGAGCAGTGGAAGGCCCAGTTCAAGATGTGGTCCACCATCGACGACTCTCAGATCTGCCGCTTCACCTCCGACGCCAAGGACAAGCCCATTGGCTGCTCGGTGGCCATCAGCACCTACTCTATGCTGGGTCACACCACCAAGCGATCATGGGAGGCTGAAAAGGTCATGGAGTGGATGCGGGGCCAGGAGTGGGGGCTTATGATCCTGGATGAGGTGCACACCATCCCTGGTGAGCTCTCGGCAAAATCCAGATAATAAAACCGTTTATTTTTTTATTTTGAATGCAATGGGACGTGGACCTTGTGTTTAATGTGAATTAATAATGTTATTTTTGTCTGCAGCAAAAATGTTCCGACGTGTTCTGACCATTGTCCAGGCCCACTGCAAACTGGGCCTTACTGCCACACTGGTCAGGGAAGATGACAAGATTGTGGACCTCAACTTCCTCATTGGGCCCAAGCTGTATGAAGCCAACTGGATGGAGCTGCAGAACAATGGTTATATTGCCAAAGTTCAGTGTGCAGAGGTAGGTCCTGTAACACTAGAACATAAATGGAAGATTTTAGGAGTAAAACTGGTATTCTTTTAAAACATTAAGCTAGTCACCAGAGCTTTGATGTGCAGTAATTAAACAGTGAGCCGATAAACCAAAATGAGATTCAAGAACACCTCAATAAACTTTCAGATCATTATGATTAGAGGTTCTTTAAATATCTGCTGCATCCTAGACTGGAAATTTCTTGGCAATTCTGCTAAAACAAGTGTGTGTAATGCAAATGTTTTAACAGGTTTTAAAACTATTGTTTACGGGAATTTGGAGTTGTTTTAATATGACAACATGCTTTGGATGTGGGTCTATTTTGAACCATATTTACAAGCTAAAACTTTTCCAAACCTCAAGGTTCAAGGGCATAGCAATCGTAAGAGTTGAAGATTGAAGAATCATTTTTATTTGAGAATCATTTTAGATGAGAGGTGAAGTTTCACCAAGATACAAGAAAATAAATATAGCTGTCCTTTTGTTTGGGCATTCTCTAAAGATCCGAGGGCTCTAGTGGACGATCAAAGAGATTATACTGATATTTGAATAGATGACTAGATACGGCAGCACTGAAAGGATTAACTTGTTTAAAATCAAGACTAAGGCTTTGACAGCAGCTACTGTGTGTCCTGTTGGGTTTAGTAGATATACTTAAGTTTTGATTATCTGGTTTTTACTTCTGAAAGTTTGTACAGCGCTGATTAAGTGGATCCCTGTGTGTGTGTGTGTGTGTGTGTGTGTGTGTGTGTTTGTGTGTGTGTGTGTGTGTTTCAGGTGTGGTGCCCCATGTCTCCAGAGTTTTACAGAGAGTATGTGGCCATTAAAACAAAAAAGCGCATTCTGCTTTACACAATGAACCCCAACAAGTTCCGGGCTTGCCAGTTCCTCATTCGCTTCCACGAGCGGCGCAACGACAAGATCATCGTCTTTGCCGACAACGTGTTTGCCTTGAAGGAGTACGCCGTTCGGCTCAACAAGTGAGCTTTCAGCGACAGAAGTTTTTCAAATTGTTGCATTAAGTATTCCTGAAATTTTTAATGATACCTTTTGTTGTTTTATGCAAGGCCTTACATCTATGGCCCCACCTCTCAGGGAGAGCGTATGCAGATTTTGCAGAATTTCAAACACAACCCAAAGATCAACACCATATTCATCTCCAAGGTGAAGTGTTCACCCGTCTCTCGCACACACACACTCGCACTTTTCGTTCCAAGTGCGAAGGAGGGGTGCCCTTTGATCCTTAAGAATTTTCTTGAAGCTTTATCTCGTCCGGGAACATCTTCTCTAACACCCTAACAAGCCTAGCCATCATTTAATTTACACTAATTGTCCCACCTTCAAAATAGATTTTAATGTATTTAGTGCTTAATGCTTATACAGTGATTTGTTCTGCACTAAAGCTTTGATGTTTGTTCGTACTTGCAGGTAACCTTGGGTTTAGATTTGTCCAAAGTAACAATACTGTTGATGAAAATGTATTATGTATATTAAATACGATTTATTTATTCAGAAAATTAACAAGGCCAGTAATTACTTAAGTAATGTTAGTTGTTCTCTGTGTAATTTGCATTTAAAAATCAATTCTTTGGTAAAAAAAAACCAAGTCAACTCTTTTTTTTTTGTAGTATCAGAATTTCATATTTTTATGAAATAATTCAGAGAAATAACTTATTTTTCCCTCTCTTTAAATGTAAAGGTAAAGAGTAAAACTACAATTGGAAATGAAATAGTTGATTTCTATTATTAACATTTTTATTTTATAAGATTAGATTGCAACTTCAGGGCTGTAATTATGAGTTATCCTGGATTCTCCTTCAATTTTCATTTGGTAAGCCAGATAGGTCAAATTAAAAATTAAACATAAAGCATGCTAACTTGCTTTTGTAGCAGATCACAACGTTTTCATGAAATCAGATGTTTTTGCACAAAATAACAAAACATTCTAAAATAACACGGGTAAAAATGTAGGTCTTTACATTTGTGGCTACATGTGAAAATCAGTCAAGCAGCAGAGTAAAACTAACAGACTTCTGTGTTGTTGTTTAATGTGTGTGTTTTTTTTTATGTTTTCAAAGGAAGTGGAGACCAGAGGTGGAAAGTACTAAAATTTCCTACTTAAGTACGAGTTCCAACACTTTGATAATTCTTTAGTACAAGTAACAGTATTAGCCAAAATTTGTACTCAACCAATAGTAAAAAGTATTGTAATTAAAATGTACGCAAAGTAAAGGTTACTTTTTTGTCAGAATAAGGACCTAAGTGCAAAATCATAACACTAGCGCACAACTCGCTTGCATGCAGGCACACACACGCACGCACGCACAGGACACACTGCATTATTTTAGAATCGTTTGAATGTTTGAATTACTAATTAAACTAAGGTAATGAGCTGAATATTCTTTTGCCGCTGCCGTGCGGAACAGTTTGAGGAATACATTTCAAAGGCGGAACCTCGTCTGGCTACCAAACCGAGCAGTATACTGCCGTAACATCAGTGCATGGAGGTGTGGGTTTCAACCAACAGGAGAGGGAGGGAGAGGGGGGAACAGCGAGTGCATCACAGGGTTTAAACTGATGTTTTTGAGCAAAACTGCAGCAAAAGTGTGGCTGTTTAATGCCCTCATTATAAAAAGTGTACACCCACACCCCCCACAGATGAGACGCTTTGCTCATGCAGGTGTCTCTTCCTGTTCCAACACTGCAAAGCACAAGATCTTAAATTTATTATTAAGCCTTTTTGACTCTGTAACGGGTATGATGTAACGTAGTAATGAAGTACTAAAAAATAAAATAAAAACATACTCAAGTAAAAGTACAGACTTTTAAAATGACTGAAAAGTACAAATAAACAAAAAAGCTACTCAATTACAGTAACTTTATTACTTTGTACCTCTGGTGGAGACACCAGCTTTATTCAGCTTTTTGCTGCATTGTGTATTTTTATTCATTTATTTTTTACCATCCAGCTGGTCAGTCTGGTTCTGTTAAATATAAATTTAGAGACCTTATGCATAAATTGCTGAGGATGTCAGAGTTATTTTTGTTAGCTGGAAGTTGCTGGTGAATGTTCTCATCCAGGGCATGGTAAGTTCAGGAGAAGACAACTGGACATCTTTATTTATGAAGATGTTTTGCAAGAAGCTGTCCCAAGATTTGTCATCTATGCCCTCATCTGAACCTACTAGGACAACTGAGTTACAAATAACATGCTAATCTCACAAACTTAACTTGACTTAAATAATTTCTCAAAATTAGACACTCAAGTTACCAAAGGGATAATCCTGGTGCAAATAATTTTTTTTAACATTTGCTTCAGACATATTTGATTTGATCTAAAACAATTTGTCACAGTAATTTAATAGTAATGCTGAATAACAGAATGTGTTACCAGGTTGGAGACACTTCTTTTGACTTGCCAGAAGCCAACGTTCTGATACAGATTTCTTCCCACGGTGGATCACGCCGACAGGAGGCCCAGCGACTCGGAAGAGTCTTAAGAGCAAAGAAAGGTTCATTAAAATGTTTTATGTGTCGTGTCTGATTATCAAAATCAGCACCATTTATAAAAAAGCAGATCTCACTCCCTGTCTGATCTTGTAGGAATGGTAGCAGAGGAGTACAACGCTTACTTCTATTCTCTGGTGTCCCAGGACACCCAGGAGATGGCTTACTCCACGAAGAGGCAGAGGTTCCTTGTGGATCAGGGATACAGCTTTAAGGTATCCTCTATTTGTTTATTTTCACAATAGTTTCCCTCATAGGTGCTGTATTTAAGTGTAAAAGGTTTATTTAAATAATCTTTGACTGTTAAAAAAAAGCCAAATCCTGTAAAAAGTAAGAAAAAAAATCAAGCTGTCTCCCATTATTATTATTATTCTCAATCGTAAACTTTTATGTTCAAGTAGGTCAGAATTATGTAACTTAATTTAAGTAATTTAAAAAATGTAACTGAAATACAAACGTATTCAGAAGAACTTTACTTGTACAGTGGGGCAAAAAAGTATTTAGTCAGCCACCGATTGTGCATGTTCTCCCACTTAAAATGATGACAGAGGTCAGTAATTTACATCATAGGTACACTTCAACTGTGAGAGACAGAATGTGAAAAAAAAATCCATGAATTCACATGGCAGGATTTTTAAAGAATTTATTTGTAAATCAGGGTGGAAAATAAGTATTTGGTCACTTCAAACAAGGAAAATCTCTGGCTCTCACAGACCTGTAATGTCTTCTTTAAGAAGCTTTTCTGTCCTCCACTCGTTACCTGTATTATTGGCACCTGTTTGAACTCACTATCTGTATAAAAGACACCTGTCCACAGCCTCAAACAGTCAGACTCCAAACTCCCCTATGGCCAAGACCAAAGAGCTTTTGAAGGACACCAGGAAAAGAATTGTAGACCTGCACCAGACTGGGAAGAGTGAATCTACAATAGGCAAGCAGCTTGGTGTGAAAAAAATCAACTGTGGGAGCAATTATCAGAAAATGGAAGACATACAAGACCACAGATAATCTCCCTCGATCTGGGGCTCCACGCAAGATCTCATCCCGTGGGGTCAAAATGATCATGAGAACGGTGAGCAAGAATCCCAGAACCACACGGGGGGACCTGGTGAATGACCTGCAGAGAGCTGGGACCACAGTAACAAAGGTCACCATCAGTAACACACTACAACGGCAGGGAATCAAATCCTGCAGTGCCAGATGTGTTCGCTGCTGAAGCCAGTGCATGTGCAGGCCCGTCTGAAGTTTGCCAGAGAGCACATGGATGATACAGCAGAGGATTGGGAGAATGTCATGTGGTCAGATGAAACCAAAGTAGAACTTTTTGGTATAAACTCAACTCGTCGTGTTTGGAGGAAGAAGAATACTCAGTTGCATCCCAAGAACACCATACCTATTGTGAAGCATGGGGGTGGGAACATCATGCTTTGGGGCTGTTTTTCTGCTAAGGGGACAGGACGACTGATCCGTGTTAAGGACAGAATGAATGGGGCCATGTATCGTGAGATTCTGAGCCGAAACCTCCTTCCATCAGTGAGAGCTTTGAAGATGAAACATGGCTGGGTCTTCCAACACGACAATGATCCCAAACACACCGCCCGGGCAACAAAGGAGTGGCTCCGTAAGAAGCATTTGAAAGTCCTGGAGTGGCCTAGCAGTCTCCAGACCTCAACCCCATAGAAAATCTGTGGAGGGAGTTGAAAGTCCGTGTTGCTCGGCGACAGCCCCAAAACATCACTGCTCTCGAGAAGATCTGCATGGAGGAATGGGCCAAAATACCAGCTACTGTGTGTGCAAACCTGGTAAAGACCTATAGTAATCGTTTGACCTCTGTTATTGCCAACAAAGGTTATGTTACAAAGTATTGAGTTGAATTTTTGTTATTGACCAAATACTTATTTTCCACCCTGATTTACAAATAAATTCTTTAAAAATCCTGCCATGTGAATTCATGGATTTTGTTTCACATTCTGTCTCTCACAGTTGAAGTGTACCTATGATGTAAATTACTGACCTCTGTCATCATTTTAAGTGGGAGAACTTGCACAATCGGTGGCTGACTAAATACTATTTTGCCCCACTGTATATAAATTAGGGATGGGACTTGATTAAAAAAATGATCAAATTAATCAGAGCCTTTGTAATTTATTAAACTTGATTAATTGCATTTTAATTGTTCAAGACCATTTGTACCCAAGCATTTTTATTTTTATTTTAGCGAGGCATAGATGACATACCCGCACTTTAACAAGTATATATCTGTAACCACAAGGTCTCAGTACAAAGGTAAACACTGTGGGATTTGTTGGGATGTGTAAATATTAGTATATGTATTATTGATGAAGTGTAAATGGACATGAAGGAACATTGGGGTTGAGGTGGGGCTGCATGGTGGTGCAGTTGTTAGTACTGTTGCTTCGCAGCAAGAAGGTTGCAGGTTCGAAACTCGGCTGTGGCCTTTCTGCGTGGAGTTGCATGTTCTCCTCATGCATGCGTGGGTTTCTTCCGGGTTCTCCGGTTTCCCCTACAGACCACAACCTGTCCAAGTTAAAAATTGTTCGTCACTTTGGATAAAAGCATCTGCCAAATAAATAAACATAAACATAAAATTATAAATTTTGTGTACTGAAGTGAGCACTAGGTGGCAGCAGAGCATTGCTAATATATATAGAGGTGTAGTGTGGAGTTCAGGGGAAGTTCTGCTGAGGGTTACACGATGAATGCTGTGTGTATGCTTGTCCCTCCAACTGTAATAAAGTAGCTTAGTGAACTAGACCAAACTCTTGCTTTGCGAAGTTTGGTCTAGCAACGCTCCATTGGAACCTCGGCGCCCCCCTAGCAGCATTATGGCGGGCCTGTCAGCTTTCAATCTCGGTTTCAAACCAATAGAGCGCTGTGACTGGTTACATTGGTGAACCAATCATAGCATTCTATCATCTTTGTGTGCAAATCAAGGCGCTCTATTCGTTTGGTGAGCGGGATGATGCAATATAGTAAAACAAGATGGCGTTGGTTAATTTAAAATGGCTTTTACATCAATTTTGGACTATTTGGGCTTAAGCTTTCTTAGAGTCAGGAGCAGATAGATGTATTTAAGTCCTTTATTCAGAAAAAGGATGTATTTTCACCTTCTTCAATAGCGGACTGCTTCATTGACTGACATACATTGCAGTGAGTGATTGACCCCCTATGAAAAGAAAATAGTCAGTAATTTGTGGATAAAAATTGACTCCTCACTTAATCTTGACACTCAGGGAAATACGGTGGTGAGGTCCTGTTTTTTTATTATCTGAAACGACTATCCAGGATCAGGCCTCTGCTGTCCAGAGCTCATCTGGAGTCTGTGTTGCATGCTTTTGTCCTGTTCCGTCTGGACTACTGTAATGCTTTATATGCCGGTCTGGGCCAGTGCATGGTTGCATGGCTCCAATTTGTACAGAACTCAGTGGCTAGGTTCCTGACAAGTACTAGATGCCGAGATCACATTACTCCAGTGCTGGATGATCTGAGCTGGCTCCCGGTGCAATATCGAGCTAAATTTAAGATCTTAACTTTTGTTTATAAGGCCCTGCCCCCTCTTAAATTACTGCACTTTTGCACAAGTATGTTCCATCTTGGTCTCTTCACTCAGCCGAGCAGGGACATCTGGTGGAAAATATCGATCGAGGGGTTATCGTGCATTTTCTGTTTTGGCTCCAACTCTGTGGAATGAATTGTCATTGAGCATTAGGCAGGCGCCGTCCCTTCAAGTCTTTAAATCTCGTCTAAAGACTCATTTCTATTTGATAACTTTTCAGCGCTAGGGTTCATTGAATTGCCCTGACATTATGGTTTTTAATACTTCTTTTTGATCAGGATGCTTGATCTTATTTTGTCCACCATTTGTTTTTAATTGATTAGTCTCTTCCCATTACCTCTCTGTATTTGTAATATTGCTTGCTTGTTATTTTATGATTTTATGTTTTTATTTTGCTCTTATGTAGCCTAGTGAACTAGACCAAATTCTTGCTTTGCAAAGTTTGGTCTAGGAACGCTCCACTGGAACCTCTGCAGCCCCTAACAGCATTCTGGCTGGCCAATCACAGGTCTCTAGAGGGGTTTCAAACACATAAAGAGCTGTGATTGGTCCATAATGGTGGGCCAATCATAGTGCTCCATCTGCTTAGTGAACAAATCACAGAGCTTTATCTGCTTTGTGGGCTAATCAGAGCACTCTATATGTCTGGTGGGTGGGATGATGCAACAGAGTGAAACAAGATGGCGACAGCTCATTTGAAACGGCTTTTACATCAATTTTGGACTATTAGAACTTGGGCTTCATTAGAATCAGGAGCAGATAGATGTATTTAAGTGCTTTTTTCTTTTTAGAAAAAATTATGTGTTTTCTCCTTCTTCAACTGGAGACTGCCTCATTTACCGATATCTGTTGCGGTGAGAATATCACATTCATTGTCCAGTAGCATGCGGAGATCATTTGAACGACCACTGTAGAACCCGCCCCACAACCGAGAGCCGTCAATGGAGCGTTGCCAGACTAAATAATACATTTATTTAGTCTGGCTTGCCAGGCTAGCTCTTATGCCCAGGTACTGGGAATGTTTTTATGATGCTGTTCAGCACCTTGGGCTTCTGATAACGTTGCTGAAGGTGCTCTACAAATAAAATGGATTGATTGATTGGTTGATTGATTGAGTGAGTGAGTGAGTGAGTGAGTGAGTATGTCACGTTGGTCATTGTCCAGTAGCATGCGGAGATCGTTTGAAAGACAACGGTAGAACACACCCTAGGACCGAGAGCTGCCAATGGAGCATTCCCTGACTAAAAGGCAGCCTGTGGGGGACGCTCCAGGAGTATGGGGTGGGTGGCTTTCTGTTAAGGGCCATTCAGTCCCTTTACCAGAGGAGAGTGAGTTTGGTCCACATAGCCGTAGTCAGTTTGACCTGTTCCCGGTGAGGGTTGGACTCCACCAGGGTTGCCTTTTGTCACCGGTTCTGTTCATAAACTTTATGGACAGAATTTCTAGGCTCAGCCGTGGTGTGGAGTGTGTCGAGTTTGGTGGCAGGAGAATCTCATCTCTGCTTTTTGCGGATGATGTGGTCCTCCTAGCTTCATCCAGCTCTGACCTTCAGCACTTGCTGGGTAGGTTCACGGCCAAGTGTGAAGCGGCTGGAATGAGGATCAGCACCTCCAAATCTGAGACCATGGTTCTCGACCG